AACAACTTGTTCTGAATAACCAAAAGGCTCAGGATGTTGATATTTAGTTAGTAGCATATGCTGGGATCAAGGACTACTATGTTTGTTAAAGTGAATGACTTTGACTTATATTCAAGGTCACAGGGGTCAAATTTGTTTAAAATCTTTAAACAACCTCTTATGAATAACCATGGGTCCCAGGATGTTTATACTTTGCAAGTTGCATCCTGAGATGAAAGGCTATACAATGTGTTCAACATAATGACTTTGTTCGACTTTCAATCGCAGGGGTGAAATGTTTTTAAAAAAAATAACAGGGTCTTTTGAACGAATTTTAATCATAAAAACTGATATTTTGCCTGTAGCTTTATTTAGATCACTTTTAAGGTTACAAGTGTGAGTTTAAAACCAGGTGAGCAGTGCAGGCCCATTGGGCCTCTTGTTGAAATATTGGTTGATTTTCCCTTTTGAGCCCTACCCTGGCCTCCAGGGTTGGGGTAGGGATCCCAATTTTACAATTTAAAACCATCATCCTCCTCCACGGATAATTCTCACCAAGTAAAAATAATTTCCAACAGAAAATTGTCAAAATATACCCAAAAGTGTTGTTTCCCTATATAAACTATAGTAAACTTTACCCCCTCCCCAAGGGAGAACGGATAGCTCGGGGGTCCTGAAATTTACAATTGAAATAAAGCCCATGATGATCTTTCCATCCATGTAGAGAAAATGACTGCAATACCTCTGAGTCTGGAGAAAAGATTTTTGAAATATTGGCTAATTTTCCCTTTTGGTCCCCGCCCTGGCCCCCAGGGTTGGGGCAGGGATCCTAATTTTACAATTTAAAACCATCTTCCTCCTCCAAGGATAATTCTCACCAAGTAAAAATAATTTCCAACAGAAAATTGTCAAAATATACCCAAAAGTGTTGTTTCCCTATATAAACTATAGTAAACTTTACCCCCTCCCCAAGGGAGAACAGATAGCTCGAGGGTCCTGAAATTTACAATTAAAAAAAAAAATCCTGATGATCTTTCCATCCATGCAGAGAAAATGACTGTAGTATAGGACTCTGAGTCTGGGGAAGAAGATTTTTGAAATATTGGTTAAATTTCCCTTTGGGGCCTTGCCCTGGCTCCTAGGGTTTGGGTAGGAATCCCAATTTTACAATTTAAAACCATCTTCCTTCAAGGATATTTCTCACCAAGTAAGAATAATTTCCACAAAAATTGTCAAAATATACCCGAAAGTGTTGTTTCCCTATATAAACTATAGTAAACTTTACCCCCTCCCCAAGGGAGAACGGATAGCTCGGGGGTCCTGAAATTTACAATTTAAATAAAGCCCCTGATGATCTTTCCATCCATGCAGAGAAAATGACTGTAATACCTCTGAGTCTGGAGAAGAAGATTTTTGAAATATTGGTTAATTTTCCCTTTTGGGCCCCGCCCTGGCCCCTAGGGTTGGGGTAGGAATCCCAATTTTACAATTTAAAACCATCTTCCTCCTCCAAGGATGATTCTGACCAAGTAAAAATAATTTCCAACAGAAAATTGTCAAAATATACCCAAAAGTGTTGTTTCCCTATATAAACTATAGTAAACTTTACCCCCTCCCCAAGGGAGAACGGATAGCTCGGGGGTCCTGAAATTTACAATTTAAATAAAGCCCCTGATGATCTTTCCATCCATGCAGAGAAAATGACTGTAATACCTCTGAGTCTGGAGAAGAAGATTTTTGAAATATTGGTTAATTTTCCCTTTTGGGCCCCGCCCTGGCCCCTAGGGTTGGGGTAGGAATCCCAATTTTACAATTTAAAACCATCTTCCTCCTCCAAGGATGATTCTGACCAAGTAAAAATAATTTCCAACAGAAAATTGTCAAAATATACCCAAAAGTGTTGTTTCCCTATATAAACTATAGTAAACTTTACCCCCTCCCCAAGGGAGAACGGATAGCTCGGGGGTCCTGAAATTTACAATTTAAATAAAGCCCCTGATGATCTTTCCATCCATGCAGAGAAAATGACTGTAATACCTCTGAGTCTGGAGAAGAAGATTTTTGAAATATTGGTTAATTTTCCCTTTTGGGCCCCGCCCTGGCCCCTAGGGTTGGGGTAGGAATCCCAATTTTACAATTTAAAACCATCTTCCTCCTCCAAGGATGATTCTGACCAAGTAAAAATAATTTCCAACAGAAAATTGTCAAAATATACCCAAAAGTGTTGTTTCCCTATATAAACTATAGTAAACTTTACCCCCTCCCCAAGGGAGAACGGATAGCTCGGGGGTCCTGAAATTTACAATTTAAATAAAGCCCCTGATGATCTTTCCATCCATGCAGAGAAAATGACTGTAATACCTCTGAGTCTGGAGAAGAAGATTTTTGAAATATTGGTTAATTTTCCCTTTTGGGCCCCGCCCTGGCCCCTAGGGTTGGGGTAGGAATCCCAATTTTACAATTTGGTAGCCTCATCTACCAAGGATGATTCTGACCAAGTTTGAAAAAAATCCATCCACTGGTTCTTGAGAAGATTTTGATAATGTAAAAAGTTTACACACGCCGGACGACGACGGGCGGAAAGTGATTGGAATAGGTCACTTGAGCAAAGCTCAGGTGACCTAAAAAGATATTAACAGTTTTCTTAGATCCTTCTGCATTGTAAATTAGACACCACTCACTAAAGAAAGTGATATTTTTTACACTAGGAGTTTGATTTCTGATTTCTGAAAATGTTCAAAGTATGAGCACTTGAAGAAAAAGTATTTTTCTCCATGATGCAAGTCTGTGCAGTGACCAGAATAGAAGATATAATAGTGCCTTTAAACTCAATGCTCACCTATCTATATAATATGGACAACGTTGAAACAGTTAATGCAGTATCAAGCTCGTCCTTATATGGCCTACCCCTGGCCTTCTCTTTTCATTAGACTTGGTCATCAGTAGACTTGTTCATTCAAAAAGTGACACAATGTTTAGGAACTAGCTCATCTTTCTGGAGGAAATGAAGTACAGTTATAACAAGCTTAAGGGTAATTCCTCCAAGTAAGAACAGCACTGTGGACACTTTCTCATGCACAATGTAGGTGTAACTCACTAGAGAAGCGAGAATATCCATGAGACATGCTGTACCTTGACCAACCTGGGTCATCAAAACCAACCAAATAATAACAAAACATGCCGAAAGAATGCAATTTAATATAACTTTAATACGAAGTGTTATATGTATTCAAATAAATATACACTAAATAACAAAAGCAAAGAAATGTGGACGGGTTAACCCGATCGTTTATTGATGCACATGACAGTGTGCCCGTGTCTCACTATGAGGAAAACACCATGTCGATAAAATTGGCACACATTTATGATCAAAAACAAGGAAGAAACGTATCAGCTATGTGACAGGAGGTTTTAAAGGATGGAGTAAAATCAAACTATTGTTCAGCGAAAAAACCCATTGTCCATAAAACGTAAGAGTAAATTAATTAGAAGTGGCCTGCTGTGCAGGCTCTTGTACAGAGGTCAGACAAAGGGGCCTCCGAAGGAAGGTTAATGTATTTAATTCTTTTGTTGAGTGATTAAATTTATGGGTGGTTGTAATAGATGAGCCTATAAATATTTTGGTAACTATTTTTGAATTATCTGGACAAATACTGCAGCACTAGCACACAGAAGCAGATCATGATCAGGAGAGGTTTCCAGGGAGTAAATGATCACCAGTTTTTTATGGAGTTATATAAGAGGAAACTTCTTATGGATACCAATTAGTTCATTCAATAATGATGAAATGTAAATTACCTTTTTATGATAATTATTGTCTAGTGTCACACAAATTTTGATGCAAGGCTGACTAACTACAATAAAAATTGTATTTTGATAACATTTCATTTTGTTTAAGAAACATACATGTTGGGATAACCAAGGCTTATTATGATTGCAATACATTGCTGATTGTGTATAGATTACACTGAATGGAGACATACATCAACATTAATTATGATAACTTAGTTAATACAACTACCTAAGACATTCAAATATCAACACTTCATACCGTATAACATGAAACTTTTGCAGTACATATACTTCCATTGTTTTGTTTGTGATGTATTATGAACCGCAAATATTTGTCAAGTGAATACTTTTCTCCCATAACCACTATAGGTTTCCTCGCTCTCAGCTCATTGGTTAAACCTGCTACAGTTTGTAAACTTTTCCCGGTAACCCACTAGTGATTAACAACCCCGGACCTGTAAGTTATTTCATTGGTCCATCTTTGAATTATGACGTCATGTTACAATCCTTTACATCAGCATCAAAATTCATGGCAATTATTTCCCTGATTGGACACAGGAATCGTGTATTTCCATGAGAAACATCTGTTTTTTTACTTTAATAAAAACTTCATGGGAGAAAAAACTTGCTATGGTTGGATATCATGCGGTAAATAAACACTGTGTCTTTATTTAACTAACTTAATTTAGATTAACATGGTACATTATATATATATTCCAGGACTCATTGGGGAACCTCTTTGTAATAGATGAGTTTATCTGACTAATTTCAACTTGATCAGCAGACTGCAGGAAATAATGAATAGTTTCATGTTATGCAGTATATACTAAAGCAAGTAGAAAAGGGCTTAGAAGAATATACACTGTATCTTTGATTGAAGTTGCAAGTCAGCGTAAGAAAATGAGTGTCAATAATCAATGATGTGTATATCACAACAATGCGTGTCCTGATGCCATTTACAATAAAACTTTTTCATCATATTTAGAGATAGTGTCTAAGAATGGTCTAGTGTCTGAGAATGGTCTACATAAGACAAGTATTTGTCACTACATTCATGTTTTCTGTGTAACATAAACGATATTGAAGGACTGTCAAATTTACATATATACACTACAGATAAGACTTGAAGATACAAGCACTGATATCACATTTAAAAAGTCTTTTACTGAATCTTAACGATGTAATGCTGAAGATTTATCACTAGCTGTCTTTTCCTGTGGACAAAAGTTTGAGAGCTTTTGTTAGGTTATTTATTGCTGTCGTAGAATCCTCGTACTGTATGGCACTACTTGCATATTTACAAAACTTCAAGGCTTTTTGGTACTGGTCGGCTGTCAGCTGAACTCCAGCTATAAAAGTGGAGAGAAAAACAAATTGATACCATATATATATATTGTAAACAAAACTAAGAGTGCTTTTGTTAGAAATATATAGGTAATACAATCTTCAATCTTGTGTCACTATCTTGTGTCACTAAGTTATTTGTCTTCTATCTTGTGCCACTAAGTTATAATTATTTGTCTTCTATCTTGTGCCACTGAGTTATTTGTCTTCTATCATGTACCACTGAGTTATTTGTCTTCTATCTTGTGCCACTGAGTTATTTGTCTTCTATCTTGTGCCACTGAGTTATTTGTCTTCAATCTTGTGCCACTGAGTTATTTGTCTTCTATCTTGTGTCACTGAGTTATTTGTCTTCTATCTTGTGCCACTGAGTTATTTGTCTTCTATCTTGTGCCACTGAGTTATTTGTCTTCTATATTGTGTCACTGAGTTATTTGTCTTCTATCTTGTGTCACTGAGTTATTTGTCTTCTATCTTGTGTCACTGAGTTATTTGTCTTCTATCTTGTGTCACTGAGTTATTTGTCTTCTATCTTGTGTCACTGAGTTATTTGTCTTCTATCTTGTGCCACTGAGTTATTTGTCTTCTATCTTGTGTCACTTGTCTTCTATCTTGTGCGACTGACTTATTCTGACAATGTTATTGTTAATATTGATACATTTTTTATTCAAACATATTCTACTTTCTGTTCTTTGTCATTGAAATGATATATGATTTATCAAAGGATATCTCTGAAAGATGGTTATAATGTTGATCAAAATCTTTAAAGGGAGATAACTTATCACATTTTTCTTACTTTAACATTTAGTTCTAACCAAGTATTGTCGAATACGTCCCCATTTACGTTTTCATATTGTTATAATCATGTTTATGATTTACAAAAGAATTCTATTTTGAAAATGGAATTTTCCAGAACAGAACTTTGTCTAAGATTGGACATACCAGTATTTGAAGGAGGGGTCCAGACTGCTGTTCCTCCCACTGGCTGCTGTGGCTGTTGGGGTGTAGAGGGGGGAGCATGGGCACCAGGGGGTTGACTACCAGCTGGTGATGGAAGGTTAAGGTTTCCGTAGGAAGGGTTGTAGTTGCCAGGCTGCTGGGGGGGTGGACCAGGTTGTTGGGGGTATGAAGGTTGTTGGGGTGGGGGATACCCTGGTGCTGGGTCTGGCTGAGTTGTCGGGAAGTTTGAAGGTCCTGGCTGAGATGTGGACGAGGTCACAGGGGCTCCACCAAAGGCTCCTGAAATATACAATAGCAACACATAGACCAGTGTTCTCCTCAGCACTTTTGGATAGCTTGATGGAAAAACAATATCTTTATGCACCTGACACCATGTGGCGAATCTCTTATATCACAAAAAAACAGTGTTAACTACGTCAGAAATCAATCCATGGCAACCATAGAAAGTGTGTGGTGAAATAAGCAATGCCGACACATTAAAAAGAACATAACTATATCATGCTTCAAAGATAAAAATGTTGAATTAATTAAGGTTTGGTGAAAACAATTATGTCATGGAAGACAATACAGTATGAAGTTAGACACAAACTCATATTCACAGGCAATGTAAATCTCGAAAATGTTATAGGCACGAATCCAACAAAATTTGGTAGTTTCATTGACAAACAATAAAAATAATTGTTCTAACCATTGTTTTCATCGGGTATATTTACCGAGTCTGATCAAGACAATTTAATATTGATTCTTAAAAGTTAGAGATGTGTATATGTAGCTTGAAATCTTAAGTGACGACTGACATATATGCTGCACTCTTTGATCTATATGTACTTACCGTCTTCCTCTTCATCCCCTTCCTCCCTCATTGGACCAGGAGTAGGTGTTTCTCCATTCTTAAGACACCTATGTATGTAGGCTGCCTTCCATTTTGCATACTTTTTATTCTTTTCAATCTGTAATGGAAACAGCATTCATTAATATTTGATAGTATCCTGTTGTAGTATATTGACACATTTTATAAAATACTAGTATATTACAATTTGAAATTCACACTATATCTAACATCTGTATGGATCAGCATTGATCTGCAGTGAGATTTAGATAACGGTGTTTGGATGGATCAGCACTGATGGGTTGTGAGGTCTAGATCTACATTACTTGTAGGGACCAGTAGTAATTGTTGTGATTGGCTGTGAGGTCTCTGTAGGGACCAGTAGTGATTGTTGTGAGTGACGGTGAGGTCTCTGTATGGACCAGTAGTTATTGTTGTGATTGGCTTTGGGGTCTCTGTAGGGACGAGTAGTGATTGCTTTGATTGGTTGTAAGGTCGTTGTAGGGACCAGTAGTGAGTGTTGTGATTGGATGTGAGGTATCTGTAGGGACCAGTCGTGATTGTTGTGATTGACGGTGAGGTCTCTGTATGGACCAGGAGCGATTGTTGTGATTGACTGTGAGGGCTCTGTAGGGACCAGTCGTGATTGTTGTGATTGACTGTGAGGTCTCTGTATGGACCAGTAGTGATTGTTGTGATTGACGGTGAGGTCTCTGTAGGGACCAGTAGTGGTTGTTGTGATTGGCTGTGAGGTCTCTGTATGGACCAGTAGTAATTGTTGTGATTGGCTGTGAGGTCTCTGTAGGGACCAGAAGTAATTGTTGTGATTGGCTGTGAGGTCTCTGTAGGGACCAGAAGTAATTGTTGTGATTGGCTGTGAGGTCTCTGTAGGGACCAGTAGTGGTTGTTGTGATTGGCTGTGAGGTCTCTGTAGGGACCAGTAGTGATTGTTGTGATTGACAGTGAGGTCTCTGTAGGGACCAGTAGTGGTTGTTGTGATTGACTGTGAGGTCTCTGTATGGACCAGTAGTAATTGTTGTGATTGGCTGTGAGGTCTCTGTAGGGACCAGTAGTGATTGTGTGATTGGCTGTGAGGTCTCTGTATGGACCAGTAGTTATTGTTGTGATTGGATGTGAGGTCTCTGAAGGACGAGTAGTGATTGCTGTGATTGGTTGTAAGGTCTCTGTAGGGACCAGAAATGATTGTTGTGATTGGATGCGAGGTCTCTGTATGTACCAGTAGTGATTGTTGTGATTGGATGTGAGGTATCTGTAGGGACCAGTAGTGATTGTTGTGATTGGCTGTGAGGTATCTGTACGTACCAGTAGTGATTGTTGTGATTGGATGTGAGGTCTCTGTAGGGACCAGTAGTGATTGTTGTGATTGGATGTGAGGTATCTGTAGGGACCAGTAGTGACTGTTGTGATTGGATGTGAGGTATCTGTAAGGACCAGTGGTGATTATTGTGATTGGACTTGAGGTTTCTGTATGTACCAGAAGTGATTGTTGTGATTGGATGTGAGGTATCTGTATGTACCAGAAGTGATTGTTGTGATTGGATGTGAGGTCTCTGTAGGGACCAGTAGTGATTATTGTGATTGGATGTGAGATATCTGTAGGGACAGTAGTGATTGTTGTGATTGGATGTGAGGTATCTGTAGGGACCAGTCGTGATTATTGTGATTGGACTTGAGGTTTCTGTATGTACCAGTAGTGATTATTGTGATTGGATGTGAGGTATCTGTATGTACCAGTAGTGATTATTGTGATTGGATGTGAGGTATATGTATGTACCAGTAGTGAGTGTTGTGACTGGATGTGAGGTCTCCGTAGGGACCAGTCGTGATTGTTGTGATCGGCTGTGAGGTCTCTGTAGGGACCAGTAGTGAGTGTTGTGATTGGTTGTGAGGTATCTGTATGTACCAGTAATGAGTGTCGTGATTGGATGTGAGTCACTGTATGTACCAGTAGTGAGTGTTGTGATTGGATGTGAGGTATATGTATGTACCAGTAGTGATTGTTGTGATTGGATGTGAGGTCTCTGTAGGGACCAGTAGTGATTATTGTGATTGGATGTGAGATATCTGTAGGGACAGTAGTGATTGTTGTGATTGGATGTGAGGTATCTGTATGTACCAGTAGTGATTATTGTGATTGGATGTGAGATATCTGTAGGGACAGTAGTGATTGTTGTGCTTGGATGTGAGGTATCTGTAGGGACCAGTCGTGATTATTGTGATTGGACTTGAGGTTTCTGTATGTACCAGTAGTGATTATTGTGATTCGATGCGAGGTATCTGTATGTACCAGTAGTGATTATTGTGATTCGATGCGAGGTATCTGTATGTACCAGTAGTGATTATTGTGGTTGGATGTGAGGTATATGTATGTACCAGTAGTAATTGTTGTGATTGGATGTGAGGTATCTATATGTACCAGTAGTGAGTGTTGTGATCGGCTGTGAGGTATCTGTAAGGACCAGTGGTGATTATTGTGATTGGACTTGAGGTTTCTGTATGTACCAGTAGTGATTATTGTGATTCGAGGTGAGGTATCTGTATGTACCAGTAGTGATTATTGTGGTTGGATGTGAGGTATATGTATGTACCAGTAGTGAGTGTTGTGATTGGATGTGAGGTCTCTGTAGGGACCAGTAGTGATTATTGTGATTGGATGTGAGGTATCTGTATGTACCAGAAGCGATTGTTGTGATTGGATGTGAGGTCTCTGTAGGGACCAGAAGTGGGGGTTGTGGTTGGATGTGAGGTATCTGTATGTACCAGTAGTGATTATTGTGGTTGGATGTGAGGTATATGTATGTACCAGTAGTGACTGTTGTGATTGGATGTGAGGTATCTGTAGGGACCAGTAGTGACTGTTGTGATTGGATGTGAGGTATCTATATGTACCAGTAGTGAGTGTTGTGATCGGCTGTGAGGTCTCTGTAGGGACCAGCAGTAATTGTTGTGATCGGCTGTGAGGTCTCTGTGGGGACCAGTAGTAATTGTTGTGATCAGCTGTGAGGTCTCTGTAGGGACCAGTAGTGATTGTTGTGATTGGCTGTGAGGTATCTGTACGTACCAGTAGTGATTGTTGTGATTGGATGTGAGATATCTGTAGGGACAGGAGTGATTGTTGTGATTGGATGTGAGGTATCTGTAGGGACCAGTAGTAATTGTTGTGATCAGCTGTGAGGTCTCTGTAGGGACCAGTAGTGAGTGTCGTGATTGGTTGTGAGGCATCTGTATGTACCAGTAGTGAGTGTCGTGATTGGATGTGAGGTATATGTATGTACCAGTAGTAATTGTTGTGATTGGATGTGAGGTATCTGTAGGGACCAGTAGTAATTGTTGTGATCGGCTGTGAGGCCTCTGTAGGGACCAGAAGTAATTGTTGTGATTGGCTGTGAGGTCTCTGTAGGGACCAGCAGTAATTGTTGTGATCGGCTGTGAGGTCTCTGTGGGGACCAGTAGTAATTGTTGTGATCAGCTGTGAGGTCTCTGTAGGGACCAGTAGTGATTGTTGTGATCGGCTGTGAGGTCTCTGTAGGGACCAGTAGTGAGTGTCGTGATTGGTTGTGAGGTATCTGTATGTACCAGTAGTGAGTGTCGTGATTGGATGTGAGGTATCTGTATGTACCAGTAGTGAGTGTTGTGATTGGATTTGAGGTATATGTATGTACCAGCACTGGTCACTACATGTATTAGCTATATAGGTGCTTACAGCACTTACATGACCCACTAGTGATTGGCTGTCAGATCTAGATCTATGGCATTTCAATGTACTTAAGTCTGTTAGTAGGCATGGTTTTTGTCTGTACCTCCAAAAAGTCCATCATTGTTGCATAAATACTATCTTAGAAATATTCTTCAGGAATGTGTTTGCATCAAATTTAATATATGTTTGCAAGCTTAAGTAAATTATAAAGCAGGTAGACAGATATTTTTGAGCATTTTCTATTCCTCTTAAAGAATATATATCTAGAATGTTCCAATAAAATGAACTTACATCTTCAGCAGGTTCTCCAAAAACACTTAAAACATCAAACAGCATACCAGAGGAGTAAAAAGATTTCACAACGTTTCTGAAAAATACAATTCATTACATCTGAAAAATACAATTAATTACAAAAAAATATAATTTCTATCTTCAATTTTAGCTAACTGATTGTTTCTCTAGACCTATCAACACAGACAGGTTTTTTAATTTCTTTGCAGATAAATTTGAATGATCACATTACACATATAAAAAAATTCTTGCAATTGATTCTTCAGTTTTGACTTTCTCTTATCACATAGCTACATTGTACTAAGCCAATAACAGACAGGTTGACTGTCCGACTTGACTTACTTGTTAAATCTACCTGCCCTGTCCTCATTGTCAGCAAATAAGAATACTTTGAGGGCATAGTCCTCCACATGGGCCTGACCAACCACCTCATTTGTGATCGCCTCGTCCTGCATTGATGTCTTCATCTACAAATACAATCAGCGCCATACTCACGTCAACTTACAAAATGAAAATGAATAATCAAAACATATAGTTACCCGGAGGAAAATTTATTCATGAATCCTTTCAAAATCCCATCCTCATTCCATGTTGATATGGTATAGTTGTCAAGGTTCGTATACTGTTGAACAAGTTTGTAGTAAGCTCATTAGACTTTTTTATTTTTTTTTATTTTAAGCTCATAAGATCTAAAACTTAGGAAACAGATGTCTAGTAAGTCTTATGAGCTTAAAATAAAAAATAAAAATAAAAGATAATAAAAAGTTTTAGATCATAGTTTTATTTTAATTCATAGTTATCTAAAGCTTGTTCCTATCTGTGCTAAAAACAGTCTGACTGTTCCGTATTCGTTTATAACACATTTGCCTGTATCTTTAACAATTGCATTAATAGATAAGCCAAACCGTTTCCATGTACTCCATCAATGCAACTAGGAAACTCCGACAATCAGGAGACTGCCGGTCTATTTCCATACCCTTCTGCATCGCATACAATCGACCTGAATTGAAAAAAAAATACTTATTTTGTTGAACATTGAAATTACTTATTATATACATGGTATTTTTGCCCCAACCTTCAACCATATTCTATTATTTATGGCTGATCATAAGGTGTTTTTTTTCTTCTTTTTTTTCTCTCTCTGAATGGAGTTCAAGTCCTCACAACAGTCAGGATCATATGATCATGAGTTACAAACACAGTATTGTTAATCACAGTTATATTTCATATCCTTTTATTTAAGGGAATAAATGTAGCATATTGTGTCACAGCTAGAAGAAAAATACATTTCAACTAGAAAACGTCTGTAAGACATAAGCTCATGGATGGGATAGGTCGGGACGGGACGGACTTGGGCAACACTATATAGTATATATCCCCCATTTTATGGTGGTGGCATAAAAATGATAAATTCAAGGTTTTCAGAGAGCTAAAGTTGATGCAATTGTTACTCCATGTTGATGCAAAATTTATTACAATTGCAACAAACCTTGTTACAAGTGCACACTTTTTTCACATCTTTAATATTAAAACAATATGTTAGTTCAACAATTACAACTCAGTAAATTCTAGCATTACCATGAAAGAGGGTAGCCAAAGTGTGAGTGTCTGAATGACACATAGGTGTCAACCTCTGAAAGCTCTGAGATCTCCCTCATTCCACATTTCCAATGAGGGAGAAAGTGCTCGAAACTCGACTGAAATTGCTTTACTCAATTTATCTCTCTCTTTTTGCATTTATATGATGCAGACACCTGTTATGATCATTATACCCTGCAGTAACTAGGAGATCATTTGACCACAGAATGTAGGTTTAGAGTTTGGGCGAGTTTGGACATGAATGAGGAAGTTTCAAGGGAGATTGGTAAAATTTAGTCAAAATACGGGAGTCGGCTCCCTCCAAAAGACTAATCTAACCAAAATACGGGAGTCGGCTCCCTCCAAAAGACTAATCTAACCAAAATAAGGGAGTCGGCTCCCTCCAAAAGACTAATCTAACCAAAATAAGGGAGTCGGCTCCCTCCAAAAGACTAATCTAACAGGTTTGTATTGTATATATGATCACAGTCACCTTTTATCTATGTGCTAGACTGCTAGAGGGTATTTTCCTTCAACTTAGCTCAATTGATAGTGATGGTCTGGGAAGCAGGGGCCATGGCATGGTTTGATCCTAGCGGAAGCACACAATCCTGTTACAAAGGGTGTCTGTGGCACTCCCTGTATAGTGACAGGGAGTTATATATAAACGTTATTTTTTTCCCAACAATTATGATGAAAAATGTTATTTCAACTTGTACTAATCACTCTTGTTGGCCCCGTTTTTAGTGCACGGAATTCCTTTTTGTGGGAGGAAACCCGAGTACCAGAATAAAAACATGGAAGGTCTTTTTGTGGGAGGAAACACGAGTACCAGAATAAAAACTATGTGGTTGAGAAGGTGATCGCATACCTTTTCATGCCCAATCAGGGAATCAAATTGGCTGCCTTGGCGAAAAGCGAGTGCACTACCCACTACATCACCCAGGTAGTTAGAACATCCCCCAGGTACATAAAGTTAGAACTTCACCCAGATAAACATCACCCAGGTAGTTATAGAACTTCACCCAGGCAGTTAGAACATCACCCTGCAGGTAGTTAGAACTTCACCCAGGTAGTTATAGAACTTCACCCAGGTAGTTATAGAACTTCACCCAGGTAGTTAGAACATCACCCAGGTAGTTAGAACATGTACATCACCCAGGTAGTTAGAACATCGACCAGGTAGTTAGAAATTGGATGTAGAGGAACCGTAGTCAAGGGTAAATACGTTAAAAAAGAGGGGAATAGTGCATTGCAGTAGTTTTCCTGCTTGTAAGATCACAGTTGCCTTCTAGCTTTGCTTCCCTCAAGCTCAGTGTAGGTACTGTACAGTAGAGCTGCCAATAGGAAGCTGGGAGTCGCTAGTTCGATCCGCGTTGAAAGCACATGTTTTCTTTCATGTGTAACAGGAAAGAGAGTAGTGTGCTTCCACCAGGGATTGAACCCCTGATTCTGGACTTTCTAGTTGGATGCTCTACAACTGAGCTAAAGGGAAATTGCCTCTAGCATGAAGCTGCCACACTATATTTACGCTTCTCCCTTTTTGAATGTGTTCAGCCTCGAACACCACAACTTAACCTAGCTAGGTTCTAACTCCCTTTCACCACAGGGAGGACATGTACAACGTTAACAGGCACCATTTTAACAGGAAAGAGAGAAGTGTGCCTCCACAGGGGATCAAATTGACGCCCCGATCTTGGACTTCCTAGTCGGATGCTCTACCACTAAGCTAAAAGCAAATTCTCTCAAGCATGCAGCTAGAAGCTAGGCAACGTACGTATGTAATCATCATATGTACAACTAAAATCTTGCCACAAATGCATGTTACACATGCTTATAGTTGCGAAATATGTACAGTGTATGTGTTTATTCGGTATTTTAAAACTTATTCTTTTTTTCTACATATTATTTTTCGAAATGTACACAAATATTGAAAAACCAAAAGTTACAGCCAAACTGGTTTTGTTCAAGTCTGATCTCAGTTATCGATGACTCACTATCACCAGCTATGATGTTATGATCAACAAATAGTGTAGACGTCCGTCAAGGTAATAGATAAATCATATTAAATCAAGACTAAGAGTACCTGGATATTTTAATTGTATGGACTATTTCAGTTTCAAATATGAATTCATTTATTGCATATTTTGGACGGTAACTTTTAAGCAACATAGTATTAGTAGTAGGACCTATAAACTGATAAATGTAAATATATATTGTCAGCCATTTGCCGGTACCATTATATGGTCTATACTTCGTTGAAATACTTACAATAGTACGCCACGACTGGATCACGTTTGTCATGTTCTGTGGCTGTCTTTAGGTAATGCTGTATAGCTTTTAGATTAGCAGGGAGTGGGGGTAAGCTCGACATTGTCACTTGTTTCTCCGACAGATTTAATGCAAAAGTCAACACTAAGAGAGTTACATTGAAGGGAACTAACTCTTGTCTGCATTTCGACATATGGTATATAGTTGAATTTTGGCAAAACTCCCCACAAAATCACAACAATACACACGTAAATGCCTCCTTTTTAGCCATCAAAATATAATAGTTTTAGATTTTAAAACATAATTTTAACTGAAAATCTATATTCGAACTTCGATCAAAATGACTTCATCACTTGTGTTGTGGTTCAAGAGCATCTACTATAAAGAATTATTCTATGCTTGATTTTGGAGACCGCAATGCATCATTAGTGTCTCTTTCCTGGCGACTAAACAACATAAGATCACGTAAAACTATTACGCTTGGTAGTGCTTATTTAATCATACTGGAATTTGTTATCATTTTGCTTTTTCCAATGCAAAAAAAAAGCCTTATAACAAAAACATATTATACCATGTATATATTTAAAGTGCCTAAATATTATTTAATTTTAAAGTTATATTGCATTTTGAAATGCCTCAGATCGCATCAGAGCACCCAGAATATATTCAAAATTATAAGGTAATAGAAAAGACGTTTTGGTAACGGGTATGATATTTAGCAACATGACTGTCAATGATTATCATCCTGTAACTGCGACGTTTTATTATGTATTCTTGTCATATCGTGAAAACGGACCTTTATTATCCTAATTATGTTATCTGTTCAGTACGATGGCCAACAATAGCCTGACAAACAGATATGAATACAAATGGTACACAAAGATATTAAAATTCAAATCTTTGTGTACCATGTAAAAGTGTACCATGGTACACAAAGATATGAAAGCAGAAATACAATCAACCCGTTGCTTTTGGTACAGAAACATGTGAAACGATCAAACGTAAAGGTTACCAAGTATGACAAATTACACCCTGATAAGGCTGTCATCACATACAATGAAATGGTATCGCGCGGAATGTCTGTTATTTTGATTGCACCAAATGAGATACCAAACTATTACTTACTCATTTAAATTGAAGTCAACTGTTCAATATCCTTTACCGAATTTTATAAAAGTTTTACGTTAAAAAGGAAGTAATTTTGGATTATTTTTCTAATACTTACATTTCGAATGTATTCTATCCGCTTCAAGTTCTTAAATGAAAGAACCTCCGAATCAGTTGAAAACGCCGACGGGTTCCGTATGGGACAAGGGGACAAAAGGGGACAATCAATTTAATTACTTCGAAGGATAAATAGTCTACCCTTTTATATTTTTGGGGGGGGAAATACGATGAGCTAGTTGTACGATTCTTTTATAATCTGGATTTCTATCAAAACAACGGAAATGACAAAAATATACAGATGTTCTTTTTCCCTTTTGGAGACCCTGTCAAGGCCACAATACTTCACAATTGCAACTAACTCTGTTTTTCATCAGCAGTGACGTTGTAATTGGGGCTTCACTATTCGGGGTCAGTTCTGGTCACATTGTCCGATAACAACATTCCGATGCTCTGGTGGTACACTTCTTTCATATCTATTTGTACCGTAGGTGATACGAAAAGAAATGAAAAACGTGTAACGCGGTACTAAAAGGAGAGAAGCTTTCATATCTTTTTTGTACCGGGCAAAAGTGTACCACGGTACAGAAAGATATGAAAATTCAAATCACTTTGCCGGCCGACATCGGCTGTTGGTACATATACATGTGAAAGTAAAGAGGTTTTTTTTATAAAGTTGGTTATAATCTTTATGTTCCATGATACACTTGTACATGATTACCATCAGTCTTTTGATTTATCGTGAACATCATCTCCCCTCCTGTCTTCTATCAGTACAATAGACTTTTTCACCCTTTACACCACTATATCGCTTACCAATAGACTGATGGTTACAATGTACCATCGTTCTCTTATCAACAGAGCCTTGTTTTCTTAGAAAGGCAAGCAGTGATATAAATACCATAGTACATGGTTTTGAACTTTTATTCTAAAAAACCCACACCAAATGCCAAGATAAAATATACTGAGGATGTTCTGGTTGACAATATCTTTGTTGTGTTCGGGTCAAGATTTCCAAAACGCTGTAGGTACCAATATTCGTATTGGAACAAAATGTGCCCATCTATTGTCCGATTTTGTTTTTAATTTTCATGTGAAGCCGAGGACTGGTAGCTTAAAAGTTTCTAAATACTTCAACCTCAAATTAAGATATATCGACGATGCGTTGAAACTTGTGGGTGAAGTAAAGACGCTACCAATTATCCTTCATCAGCCGATTTCAGAAGTTATACTTATAGCATGACCAATAAATAGGTATGGCTTACTACTAAGATGTGCATCCCTTTCCTGGTAGTAAAATAACTACATATAATTATCTGCTTCCGAAACCTTAGGTGTTTACATGTCACACTTGATTCGGTATTGCCGGTTGGCCCCCAATATCATGCTTTCAGTGAAGGATGTTCTTGTCGAACCATTACGTGTATGGATCACTTCCAGCATGACCTCATTGGGAAGTTTGCTATTACTTAATGCCATGGGAGTCGATGTTTTCTTTTATTATTCTCCTTAATGTATCCGCCGTCGCTTTGGATGACTGTCGTGACTTTGGTTTTAACTAGATTTACATGGTAGTTGTCGTTTATGATGCAGAAGACGTTTACCCTTCCGGAACACTGATCTTATTCTTTTTGACATTTCCAAAGATCTCGCTTAAAGGTTTCTTTTATTTATAGTTTCGTATTTCTAGTGCATAGTATATGCAGTGAGGTGCTTGACTGCTGGTGGACTAGGCTGGCCGTAGCCCTGGTAGGACTAGGTTGGTCGTAGCCTTGTAGGACTAGGTTGGTCGTAGCCTTGTAGGACTAGTATGGTCGTAGCCTTGTAGGACTAGGTTGGTCGTAGCCCTGGTAGGACTAGGATGGTCGTAGCCTTGTAGGACTAGGTTGGGCGTAGCCTTGTAGGACTAGGTTGGTCGTAGCCTTGTGGGACTAGGTTGGTCGTAGCCTTGTAGGACTAGGTTGGTCGTAGCCATGTAGGACTATGTTGGACGTAGCCTGGTAGGACTAGGTTGGTCGTAGCCTTATATGACTAGGTTGGTCGTAGCCTTGTAGGACTAGGTTGGCCGTAGCCTTGTATGACTAGGTTGGCCGTAGCCTTATAGGACTAGGTTGGTCGTAGCCTTGTAGAGCTAGGTTGGTCGTAGCCTTGTAGGACTAGGTTGGTCGTAGCCTTGTAGGACTAGGTTGGTCGTAGACATGAATGACTAGGATGATCGTAGCCTTGTAGGACTAGGCCGGCCGTAGCCTTGTAGGACTACGTTGGTCGTAGCCTTGTAGGCCTCGGTTGGCCGTAGCCTTGTATGACTAGGTTGGCCCTTACCTTATAGGACTAGGTTGGTCGTAGCCTTATATGACTAGGTTGGTCGTAGACTCGTAGGACGAGGTTGGTCGTAGCCTTGTAGGACGAGGTTGGCCGTAGCCGTGTATGACTAGGTTGGGCGTAGCCTTGTAGGACTAGGTGGGCCGTACCCTTTTAGGACTAGGTTGGCCGTAGCCTTTTAGGACTAGGTTGGTCGTAGCCTTGTAGGACTAGGTTGGTCGTAGACATGTATGACTAGGTTGATCGTAGCCTTGTAGGACTAGGTTGGTCGTAGCCTTGTAGGACTAGGTTGGTCGTAGACATGTATGACTAGGTTGGCCGTAGCCTTGTAGGACTAGGTCGGCCGTAGCCTTGTAGGACTAGGTTGGCCGTAGCCTTGTAGGACTAGGCCGGCCGTAGCCTTGTAGGACTAGGTTGGTCGTTGCCTTGTAGGATTAGGTTGGCCGTAGCCATGTAGGACTAGGTTGGTCGTAGCCTTGTAGGGCTAGGTTGGTCGTAGCCTTGTAGGACTAGGTTGGTCGTAGCCTTGTAGGACTTGGTTGGCCGTAGCCTTGTTGCTGGACTTTATTCTCGCATGCTTTACATGAAATACTAGTTTAGGTATAAATTAACTATAGTAGCTAAAGGTTGTGGATTTGTAACGTTATCGAAGGAATGTTAAAGGCATCTTTCCCTTTTCGATGTATTCTACATACGTTTCAAAACACTTGAGACATGAATTTGTTTCATCCTTTGGACCGTTAGTACCACTGACGAGTTCTGAATGGTCCAGATAGCCACCCGGTAAGTAAAATGTGTACATTGCATAACTTTCTGTATTTACATTTCTTAAAAATGCAAAATAATGTATAATCATTAACAACTAGTTGTCTGAAAGCAGAGGATTTCTCAAATTCAAATCGCAACCAAAAAAATTCTCAGTTATCTAAAGCATCAGTTCTGTTAAGTGATATGAGTTTACGAATTTAGCATGAATTTAATATTACCAATATCCCTCTACTTTTTGTTTAGATTGCGATAGGAATGAGAACTAGATATACTGATACATGTAACTATAATAAGTGTATAGGGAAGTTTACAGATTTAGTTATTATACCGTTTGATTGTTGGCAGCCATTAGATGAAATGATTGGCTTGGCATTATAACAGAAATAGGGGCAGGTGTTGTGTTTTGAGGAGATCATTAGAGAAAGGAGGCTCTGAAGTAGTGCCCTCCCCCCAATCCCCCTCCCCACCAATCCCCCTCCCCACCAATGTATTTACAAATTCACCATTGTTAAACTAAACACAGACCACATGTACACGACGGGTTGAATACATGTCATGGGAGGAGTATTTAAAATAATACAGTCGCCTTGACGAAAATGGGAGCAATTATAAGCGGGATGTGGACTGGTAGTGCTCTCAGCATCAGTAACATGCCCTAGTCGCTAGCTGTCGGGGGTCTGGGAGCGTAGTTGTCGTCAACAGAGACATGTATTAGGGACATTGTGGTCATGTAAACTCGTGTGAATACATGAAGGAAGTACGTACGTTTGTCGATTCACTCCTGGTGTGCAAGGCAGACTAGCGGAAGGACGTTCGAGGGGATGAGTTAAACCACTTCAACGATATATCCGATATAAAACCTGTCACAGGAGGAAGGTCGGTCATAACCATTCAACGCTCGCTTTACGTATCGATACATTCAAGATGGAAACACCAATACTGGACCCCACAGACCACCAAGGTTAGTAGCCGGAGTTATATATTTTTTTATCACAGGTTCAGACCCAGAAGCCCATTGATCATTTACCATATACTTCTTAATTAGCTTACTTTTCCAACTGTCATAAACCTTTATGAAAATGTTCTCAGATTTCAGACCCTGCTAATGTTAACAATCTATGTGTTAAAAGCTGTGAAAATTCGGATCATATGTGAGCGACAATCGCAATAGATTATACTGGAATGGTATTCAAATTTCCTGTGTAGTATTGACGCTTTAAGCCACACGGATCTATGCACGTGCCTGTTCTAATCGGGATGCTGATACCATAACCGATAGCGGGGTTGTGGTTTGAGCAGTTTTACTCTAGTTAGGTTCGAGGACGGGTTCGATCGATAGTAACTCTTGCGACATATATGGCACCGACACACATGGCGGACTATTTGGTCTGCATATGCTGAGCGATGCATATGTTGTGTGAAATGTTTGATTGTCGAATAACCCTCTTATAACATGAATTAAACCTAGTATGCTCATGCATTTTATATGCTGTTACCAATAACTGATGTTACTCAGAATTTTTCTGATTGCTTTTAGACGAATACTATTTCCGGCTTAGCAAGCAAAATAGTTGAATAGCAGGTATTTTATTTTGCTTAACGGTAAGCGCTAATAATAATAGAACAAGACGAAACAAATCGCAGCATTGAAGCCGGTTAGATGTTGAAACTTACAAAGGTGGAAATATAAATCATGACCTGAAACAGGAAACATATATATAGTATAACAAGGTGAGATGTTAAACCCGTCGAACACAAACGGCTGTATGTCTAAACATATTTAAAACTATACAGCCGACGGACAACTATTGTGTAAGAATGTTAAAAAACGGAAGGTCTAAAAAATATTTCCGTATATTCAACCATGCGAATCGCAAGACGTGGCTGGACGTAGCTGGACGGGAGAAACAAGATATGAGTCGTGTAACTAGGGACACGGATGTGAGTAAGGGGAGATGAATATGTGGCAAATAGGATAGAACAATCACGCACTCAAAACAAAATGGATACGCCTGTCCAGAATAAGAGAAATGGTGCCATGGATACAGAATAGTTGTTATGGAAAAGGGACGATATAACTAAGGACAGAAATGGTAATGAGAGGGACACAGCGGTGTAATGGTAGGGGAATATAGATTGTGTTACGGAGTGTGTTACAACCGGAAGTATAACAGCGGATATGTATGTGGACAAGGAAGTACGTATGTAATGGGGAACATCTATTCTGATGTGAGCGTTTGTAAGATGATTTTTTTTCGAAAAAAAAAGTAATTCTCGATAAAGAATAGAAATAAATTTGAATAAATACCCCGATCAAAAATCTATCTCTCGAATCTACTAGTACGTACATTGTATATATCCTCCCTTACATAAACCCTACTTCCAGATGACATGGAATCCTCTTATTACACGCTCCATATTGCCTATTACGCATCCCGTACTTCTGTGTCTAGATTGTTGTGTTTTAGAAGCAGTAGCCATACGTTCTTTCTCTGCCCTTATACTATAAAGCCAAAGATAATGGGGTATTTTTAAAGACAGGTACGCTTCAATTCTGTGTCGTACACGATACATTGTCCAACAGACGTCAACAGAAAGGTTTTTCTTTTATGAATCCAATCCCGCACGTGCTTCTTTTACGCATGGATACGTGTAATATACCAACAGAAAAAATGTAATGATTACAAACCGAGATATATTTGTCCCTAAAGAAACCATCAGATGGATACTATCATATGTCTGAAAGGAGTTTGTTCATCCTTTCAGACTGTTTTGTTTTAGATTCAACGCAAATATTTGATACATATACATCAAAACTAATAACGGTCTAATATTTCTCAAAAAGTGTGTTATCTCTATAAAACTGTTTCCATGTATACATATACTAGTATTATGTGTGTATTTACCTGATTTGTCGTTACAGGTGGAAAGGCGTATGGCATGCTAATGGAGGAGAAAGCCAAACTATTGGGGGAAATTAACGAGGTAGGGCGGATATCTGCTATAGACATACATCTAATGTAATAGTGCGGATATCTGCTATAGACATACACCGAATGTAATAGTGTGGATATCTGCTATAGACATACACCTAATGTAATAGTGCGGATATCTGCTATAGACATACATCTAATGTAAAAGTGGGGTTATCTGCTATACACATACATCAAATGTAATAATGCGAATATCTGCTATAGACATACACCTAATGGAATAGTGCGGATATCTGCTATACACATACATCTAATGTTATAGTGCGGATATCTGCTATAGACATACATCTAATGTAATAGTGCGGATATCTGCTATAGACATACATCTAATGTAAAAGTGGGGTTATCTGCTATACACATACATCAAATGTAATAATGCGAATATCTGCTATAGACATACACCTAATGGAATAGTGCGGATATCTGCTATAGACATACACCTAATGTAATAGTGCCGATATCTGCTATAGACATACACCTAATGTAATAGAGCGGATATCTGCTATAGACATACATCTTGCAAAAGTGCGGATACCTGCTATAGACATACATCTAATGTAATAAGGCGGATATCTGCTATAGACATCTAATGTAATAGTGCGGATATCTGCTATACACATACACCGAATGTAATAGTGTTGATATCTGCTATAGCCATACACCTAATGTAATAGTGCGGATATCTGCTATATACATACACCTAATGTAATATTGCGGATATCTGCTATAGCCATACATCTAATGTAATAGTGCGGATATCTGCTATAGACATACATCAAATGTAATAAGGCGGAAATCTCCTATAGACATACACCTAATGTAATAGTGTGGATATCTGCTATAGACATACATCTTGCAAAAGTGCGGATATCTGCTATAGACATACATCTAATGTTATAGTGTGGATATCTGCTATAGACATACACATAATGTAATAGTGCCGATATCTGCTATAGACATACATCAAATGTAATAAGGCGATAATCTGCTATAGACATACACCTAATGGAATAGTGCGGATATCTGTTATAGGCATACATCTAATGTAATAGTGGGGATATCTGCTATAGACATACATCTAATGTTATAGTGTGGATATATGCTATAGACATACACGTAATGAAATAGTGCGGATATCTACTATAGCCATATACATCATGTAATAGTGCCTATATCTGCTATAGACATACACCTAATGAAATAGTGCGGATATCTACTATAGCCATATACATCATGTAATAGTGCAGATATCTGCTATAGACGTACACCTAATGTAATAGTGCGGGTATCTGCTATAGACATACACATAATGAAATAGTGCGGATATCTGCTATAGACGTACACCTAATGTAATAGTGCGGATATCTGCTATAGACATACATCTAATGTTATGGTGCGGATATCTGCTATAGACATACACCTAATGGAATAGTGCGGATATCTGCTATAGACACCCACCTAATGTAATAGTGCGGATATCTGCTATAGACATACATCTAATGTAATAGTGCGGATATCTGCTATATACATACACCTAATGTAATAGTGCGGATATCTGCTAAAGACATACATCTAATGTAATAGTGGGGATATCTGCTATAGACATACACCTAATCGAATAGTGCGGATATCTGCTATAGACATGCACCTATCTATAGTGCGGATATCTGCTATAGACATACATCTAATGTTATAAGGCGAATATCTGCTATAGACATACACCTAATGGAATAGTGCGGATATCTGCTATAAACATACACCTTATGTAATAGTGCGGATATCTGCTATAGACATACATCTATTGTATTCGTGCGGATATCTGCTATAGACATACACCTAATGGAATAGTGCGGATATCTGCTATAGACATACACCTAATGTAATAGTGCATATATCTACTATAGACATACATATAATGTAAAAGTGCGGATAACTGCTATAGACATACACCTAATGTAATAGTGCGGATATCTGCTATAGACATACATCTATTGTATTCGTGCGGATATATGCTATAGACATACACCTAATGGAATAGTGCGGATATCTGCTATAGACATACATCTATTGTATTCGTGCGGATATATGCTATAGACATACACCTAATGGAATAGTGTGGATATCTGCTATAGACATACACCTAATGTAATAGTGTGGATATCTGCTATAGACATACATCTAATGTAATAGTGGGGATATCTGCTATAGACATACACCTAATGTAATAGTGGGGATATCTGCTATAGACATACATCTAATGTAATAGTGGGGATATCTGCTATAGACATACATCTAATGTAATAAGGCGGATATCTGCTATAGCCATACATCTAATGTAATAATGTGGATATCTGCTATAGACATACACCTAATGTAATAGTGCGGATATCTGCTATAGACATACATCTAATGTAATAAGGCGGATATCTGCTTTAGACATACACCTAATGTAATAGTGTGGATATCTGCTATAGACATACATCTAATGTAATAAGGCGGATATCTGCTTTAGACATACACCTAATGTAATAGTGTGGATATCTGCTATAGACATACATCTAATGTAATAGTGCGGATATCTGCTATAGACATACATCTAATGTAATAGTGCGGATATCTGCTATATACATACACCTAATGTAATAGTGGGGATATCTGCTAAAGACATACATCTAATGTAATAGTGGGGATATCTGCTATAGATATACACCTAATGGAATAGTGCGGATATCTGCTATAGACATACATCTAATGTAATAGTGGGGATATCTGCTATAGATATACACCTAATGGAATAGTGCGGATATCTGCTATAAACATACACCTAATGTAATAGTGCGGATATCTGCTATAGACACCCACCTAATGTTATAGTGCGGATATCTGCTATAGACATACATCTAATGTAATAGTGGGGATATCTGCTATAGACATACACCTAATGTAATAATGTGGATATCTGCTATATACATACATCTAATGTAATAAGGCGGATATCTGCAATAGACATACACCTAATGTTATAGTGCGGATATCTGCTATAAACATACATCTAATGTTATAGTGCGGATATCTGCAATAGACATACATCTAATGTTATAATGCGGATATCTGCTATAGACATACATCTAATGTTATAAGGCGGATATCTGCTATAGACATACACCTAATGTAATAATGTGGATATCTGCTATATACATACATCTAATGTAATAAGGCGGATATCTGCTTTAGACATACACCTAATGTAATAGTGTGGATATCTGCTATAGACATACATCTAATGTTATAGTGCGGATATCTGCAATAGACATGCATCTAATGTTATAATGCGGATATCTGCTATAGACATACATCTAATATTATATGGCGGATATCTGCTATAGACATACATCTAATGTAATAAGGCGGATATCTGCCATAGACATACACCTTATGTAATAGTGTGGATATCTGCTATAGACATACATCTAATGTTATAAGGCGGATATCTGTTATAGACATACATCTAATGTTATAAGGCGGATATCTGCTATAAACATACATATAATGTTATAAGGCGGATATCTGCTATAGACATACATCTAATGTAATAAGGCGGATATCTGCTATAGACATACACCTAATGTTATAGTGCGGATATCTGCTATAGACATACACCTAATGTAATAAAGATATTTCAGTAAGTTGAGACTTTCATGTTAGTGTACGTACATATTGAGCTATGATGAAAACTTGCTTAACATCATATATAACAGAAACGAACTCAGTATTTAATTAAAAGTATCGCCTTTTACAAAAAACTGAAATAGATACGTTCGAACATACAGTTATTTGGCGTTTGTATCATTGTCAACTTGTAGTCATTACATGTTTTTGCAACGTTTTAAAAAAGATACTACTCAGATTAAAATGTGTCAAATTAACCTCATTATTAGTCACTAGGGATGCTTAATTGGAACATGGTGACATCGTAGACACACGTGAGCTCAGACATGTACACATCCTGGAGCTGAGTGTTGTTATACCGTGCTTCACCTAGTATGTGTTTCACAGGGAAACGGGTACTTGTAATGAAGGACAGAAAGGGAAGTCGTTATACAGACTCGATGAAACAATATTAAAATTCAAGTACTCATTAAATGCGTAGACAAAACGGACTTATCTTAACCTTGTTTTTAGATAAACTGTAGTTGTTTTTACATGTACAGCGATGAATGTCATACAAATTTCTCTAAGTTCCTTGCACGCGTAGATCTAGAACAGGAAATGTTTAGTGCATCAATTAACATTCCCCTAATGGTCGTACCATAATTGACAGATGTGTCTATTTTAGGAACAACGTCATCCATATCGGTATAAGCGATATCTGTAGCTCATTTTTCTATTGATTTGAATGAATATCGAATGTATTTAAATTTTTGCCGTTATCTACCAAGAGCTGCCTATATATAATCATATTTAAAGTGCGTAAACAATATATAGAAAGACATAGACGTAGAAAAAAATAAGATGAAGTCCTTGAATTCGAAAGTTCTTCTAATGCCTTGAATACAGTGCTAAATGGGTAATAATTACTGTATCTCTCTGAAATACAAGTAAATTGGTAGCCCGACTGTTCTATAGTGACAATCCTCGAGATTCCAGAGGTTACGCTCACGTACGTTTTCTAAAGACGTAAAAGAGCGTAGACTCTGGAATTTCGAGGATGTGAAGTAGCAGCTTGGAACAATTTAGGAAATCTATCCATCATACATCTCTATCAAAAACTTGCGGTAATCCGAAATGTTCCCCACCGCCCGTTCATGAAAATTGAACTTTTTTCTCTCTCGATAACTCAAGATACTAAGATGCGTTTTAAAAGGGACATTGGATTCTTCCATGAGATTTACACAGGACAAAAATTGCACACGTGTTTTGGAATATATCAAAAAGTCTGTTCGCATCAAAGTCGCTGAGTATTGTAAGCATTTGTCAGGAAGCAAGCGTTGACGAGGTACATTTATGTACGGGTAATCAGGCTCTTTGATATGAAATGAGATTACGTACTGCACACGTACGCCATACTAGACACAGTTGTATCAAATGTATGGTAGAATCAAACCATTTCTGTTCGATTTTACAGGAATTTAGGAACGACGATACCTATAAAGACGTCGAGGATTTGAATGAAAAACTCAACAGTTACAAAGGTCAGTCCAAAGGTCAAACGTTCGAGACGAACACACCGAATGCTAATATGATAAGGGTCAAATGTGAAAAAGTCGAAAGAAGTCAAGGGTATGGGACAAAGAAAATATATACAAGGAAAAATGTGCATGTTACTCCAATGTGATCATACCGACGTGGATGTTTAAAAAACGTTCAATAGGTTTATTTACATTCAGAATATATATTTGTGATCATAATGTTAGTATTTCCTAATATCTGAGGTATCGACGTTTCTCAGTCAGTGCAAACGACGTTCCTGGAACAGCATAACGTCATCGAAACTATTTGAAATGGAGAAGCTAGTTTTTTAAGCAGGAATGTAAATATACGTAAATCAAAAGCTTTGGGTATTTTCACTGAATAAGACAATAATCATGTTATATATATAAGATCTGTCATTAACTCCTATTTCTCACTTAAATGTATGCATTACTGTTTTGTCAGGAATAAATAATATGTACATTTGCTCACAATCGTTATTTCTCTTTATTGCAGAGAAGTTCATGGAATTCGATCTTGACAACTCTGGAGACATAAGTATGTTATAAGTGGGATTTCATACATTCATATAGGCAGAGATTTGAACATATCGTTGCGATTGATTTATGTAAAATGAATTAAAAAGGTTCAATGATCAAACAATAAAATATGTACGGTCATATACTTTTCATGATTTTTTTTAACAGACACATCGATCGGGTCAATATATATATATACAATTTCCATACATATCTGTGCCCCATGTAAGAAATCAGACATATGGGGATGTGATGTCTTGGGTGGTATTCCGGTTCATGACCCCTTGGATATACATATAATTTGTCTTTATATTCCTCCCCTATCAACATAAGGATTAAATGGCATTTTAATGTTCATACCGGCATAAACATTGGAAAGTACTGTACAGTAGAACATTCACATTTAGAAATATATAGTTATTATGGATGTAAATATAGGTATTCATTTATATAGTCTGTGTCGTCAATGCAAACGAGAACCAGGAACAGCCTAACGTCACTTAAATGTTTACATTTTATGGTTGTCTCACGTTTTTCGAGGCAAGAGTAGCTTAAAAAAGGCGCTATACAATATAATTGCATCTATAACCCAATGAATGCAAAGTTCTCTGGTAATGCTTGTAGAGGAACATACACATTAAATACCGTAGTTGTTGCCTGATAATCATCGATCATGAGACTGCTAAAATAATAAACTGAAAGAGTTTAAACCAATGTATCTCTGTGCTACAGACTACATGGGGCTGAAGTTGATGCTGGAGAAACTGGGTTCCCCTAAAACACATAAGGAGATACTTAAGATAGTATCGGAGGTGGACACAACGGAATCTGGTACCATATCCTACAAAGAGTTCCTGTGGATGATGTTAGGAGGCAAGAACTGTATCCTTAGATTGTAAGTATACTGAATAATGTAAATAAAGGTCATGTGTTAATACACCGAGTTATATAAATATAGTTCATATGAACGATGTGCAAGTTTACCGTAAATACATGTAACGTTCCTGTGTAATATGTCTGAGCATATTGAGCAAGTCCTGTCAAATTGTAACCAAATCATTTTGGTTCTAAATATCAGATGGACGAAATATTTCATTAGTTTGTCTTATTTTTACCATTACACAAGTTGTCATTGCAAACACGAGCAATTGCGGTATAAACCACATTTGTAGAAAAATGCCTACCTACATCTAGTCTACTAGAATAGCAAAGGCGGAAATAAAGTTTGGACAATTATACTTGACGTTGTATATATAGAGGAATATATTTTCCCTGGTATCATCTGACGCTGGTTTATTAATGGTCAAAGTTATAAGATAGTTTTGCTTTGTCTAAAGTGTGCCAAATTATGACAACTATACACCATACAAACGGTTCACGTGATCAATATATGGACTATTTCAGGATACTGTTTTTCGAGTCGGTTGGACAGGAGGCGCCGAAACAAAAGGGTGTTGCACCGCCCCGTACTATAGACTCTCTGCCGTAACACCAGACGCTGATACATCACTCCGAGCTGGGGATCGCTATTTGAACAGATATTAGCCAATATCATTTATACAAAGTCTTATGTGTTCATAAGAACTAACGTTCTAATAATCTAGCATATTGTTTAACGGATGTATATTTTCTGGAAGTCTTTTCAATAACTCCTAAAAGCATATTGGAACAAGTTTGCAAACATTCGCTTTCCAGTCGATACCTCTATATAAATGTACTTCCTCCAAATACAATATCCGCATTTAGTTACATTGTAAATATCAGGTCACTGACATTCATCACCCTTTTAATTGACATATGAAAGTATACACAACATGTATAGTAATAACATTGTACTAATAAAACCTTCTATGTTCTAATCCGACACTAATAAATATACTTATGTTATAAAATATACTTTTTTTTTGCGAAAAACCAACGTCACAATTTACGTTTTCTTTTTCTATGGCTAATTAAGGTGTTCACAGGGCTACCCTGTATGTGTATACACAGGGCTATCATGTACATTGTAACTGTATGTGTATACACATGGCTACCCTCTACAGTGTAACTTTATGTGTATACACATGGCTACCCTCTACAGTGTACCTGTATGTGTATACACATGGCTACCCTCTACAGTGTAACTTTATGTGTATACACATGGCTACCCTCTACAGTGTAACTTTATGTGTATACACATGGCTACCCTCTACAGTGTAACTTTATGTGTATACACATGGCTACCCTCTACAGTGAAACTGTATGTGTATACACAGGGCTACCCTGTACAGTGTAACTGTATGTGTTTACACATGGCTACCCTGTACAGTGTAACTGTATGTGTATATACAGGGCTATCATGTACATTGTAACTGTATGTGCATACACATGGCTACCCTCTACAGTGTAACTGTATGTGTATACACATGGCTACGCTGTACAGTGTAACTGTATGTGTATACACAGACAGGGCTACCCTGTACAGTGTAACTGTATGTGGATACACATGGCTACCCTGTACAGTGTAACTGTATGTGGAGAATTGTATGGGTTTTTATATTGTTTTTTGTTATGGATACAATCTGTTATACAGGTTTGGGTTTTAAATATATTATATGTTTATAAACGCTTTCTTCTAAATTCAAATGTTATGTCTTGTTTGATAAGGGGAAAAGTACACCAAGGGAGAGATAATTTCAACATAGGCGGTATTGGTTCCGGGCTACGGAAGTTTTTACCCCCGTTCTACTGGTGTTACAGAGTATACACATGGCTACCCTGTACAGTGTAAATGTATGTGTATACACAGTCAGGGCTACCCTGTACAGCGTAACTGTATGTGTATACACATGGCTACCATGTACAGTGTAACGTTATGTGTAGACACAGTCAGGGCTACCCTGTACAGCGTAACTGTATGTGTATACACATGGCTACCATGTACATTGTAACTGTATGTGTATACACATGGCTGCCCTCTACAGTGTAACTGTATGTGTATACACAGGGCTACCCTGTACAGGGTAACTGTATGTGTATACACATGGCTACCCTCTACATTGTAACTGTATGTGTATACACATGGCTGCCCTCTACAGTGTAACTGTATGTGTATACACATGGCTACGCTGTACAGTGTAACTGTATGTGTATACACAGACAGGGCTACCCTGTACAGTGTAACTGTATGTGTATACACATGACTACCATGTACAGTGTAACTGTATGGGTATACACAGTCAGGGCTACCCTGTACAGTGTAACTGTATGTGTCTACACATGGCTACCCTGTACAGTGTAACTGTATGTGTATACACAGTCAGGACTACCCTGTACAGTGTAACTGTATGTGTATACACATGGCTACCATGTACAGTGTAACTGTATGTGTATACACAGTCAGGGCTACCCTGTACAGTGTAACTGTATGTGTAGAATTGTATGGGTTTTTATATTGTTTTTTGTTATGGATACAATCTGTTATACAGGTTTGGGTTTTAAATATATTATATGTTTATAAACGCTTTCTTCTAAATTCAAATGTTATGTCTTGTTTGATAAGGGGAAAAGTACACCAAGGGAGATAATTTCAACATAGGCGGTATTGGTTCCGGGCTACGGAAGTTTTTACCCCCGTTCTACTGGTGTTACAGAGTTGCAATACAACATGGATGGGTGTTCTTGATTTCGTTTATATCAAGATTTCTTCTTCTGTAACTGACACAATCACTCCCAGTGATCAAAGATCAGCACTGTCTGATTACACGTGCATGCAGATTGACAGACACATGTGGCACGACTGATCATACATATTAGCGGAGACCGACAAATTAACCAGTGAAACACAACAAATAACATGTAAACTTTTCTGGAAAGTGCATCTTTCACTCGGAGAATAGATTGAAATCAACTTGCAATACAACGCTTGAGTATACACAGGTCGAGTTGGCTATTGGTAATGCTCACTTGGGTACATCGCCAGGGAATACGTATATATTAGCAAATTTATGAAACAACCAAATCCAACATTGATACTTAATATTCACGAAAATGTTCTCCGGATTTGGAACTGTTACGACACTAGCTTTTCAGGACAGCGTAATTCAAGGACGAGTGTTTCCCGAAGCCCCAAAAAACCTCTGGATCCGCCACTGGGCTTTGAAGTCGGGCGTCTCTCCTTTGTAATCTTCAAAGGACAGGTATCAGCCTAGTGAGATTGGTCAGGTTTTTTTAGAGAGCGAAAGTGAGTGTAACCCCTGGTTATCGAGGATACAAGAATTGTGGGTGTGGCTTCTGGAACAACTGAGAATGACTGTGATGCATTTCGCTTCTTTCCCGTAAAAAAATAAAAGAAGTTATGAATAATGTGTTACATATGTATTTCTCAATAGCGCATTTTCTGGAGCGGCTTGGATACTCCGATAATAGCAAGGAGTACAATATGACGTCACAAGAAGAAGCTCTCGTTCGTTCCCTGTATGGAGAAATATGATATTCCAGAGTTTTGTTAGCCGCGTGTCACAGCACTGAATTATGCGAACTTAACATTTTTAGAAAAATAATCAGTTCATTTATGTCACCTTTTAAACATGTAAATGCAGAAAACCATAGACGGTAAACGTGTTACAGCACTCTTAGGTCATTTCGTTTAAAGTAACTTTGGCCTCCTCAGTGGTACCACGGACTTAGATAACACTATCTAATTCCGTGGTGGTACTAAAGGTGAATAGAAAAAAACATGTCTAAAACGTTCCAAAACTTATGGTATATAGAAAATATTGTGAAAGGAGAAATGTCCCCAAACACTCTTATAACATTACTTCCTTTTTCCGATGACACAAGCACGTGTATGTAGTGTTACTCTAAGAGCCTATCCATTCATCATTCATCAGTCTTGAATCTTACTGACTTTCGCAAAAACAAGGAATTGTAGTGTAGTGCAGTACAAAAGAAATGATAATTTAAAGTACTGGAAGGTCCTCCCAAGTGCGACGTCACAGTCCGGATCGTATTTTGAATATTTGTTTATATTGAGAGCACTTACCAACAAGTCCTATAAAGAAACAGTTAACACCGGATACCACACTATTGTATAACTTACAGACCATATGAGCTAAAGAAAATAACATACACATGTCAACGCTATGACAAATAATTTATCGTATTTAAACAGCAACATTCTGACATTATTATGAATCATTTACATAAATCGTTTTAGATAAATAATAACACATGAAATCTATGTATCAAAATTCTAAGTCATTCGCACGCCATGATACCATTGTTGAAATAGTCCAATCACAGTATCAATGTTGTATTTCCGCTTTTGTATCAAAATTTGTTCTAGTTGCTCTTTTGTATTATCAGTCAAATAATACTAGATGACTCTTTCCTCCATTGTCCGATATCACGGAAACCATATTTTGTAACTAAACAATAAATCAATACTTTACAGTGCGTGTTTGTGAAATATTACTATAACAAACCATGTATCCAAGGAAGGAGAAACACTTCAGGGAAATTAAACAAACATGTTATCTTTATCTTACACACCTCAATCATGTAAGGGGGCAAACATGTTTCAACATCATTTACATGTATCAGATGAAAGGCTGTCAAACTAATAACATTTTGAAAATATTTGGAAGTAGTGCCTATGGGTCAAAGCGACATAATATGGTTTATGGTTTTACATATCTCTGGTTAGTACTAGCAATGATACTGATCCTAATATACATACACAAATGTAAGTACATGTATATTAACACATTAATGAGGTATTAACAGTGACTTTAATTAATTCAGAGAGTAGCTCTTTCTCCCGTACATGCATGTGTCAACTCTAGGATCCCTGCAGCATGGTCGTCGCGATAATGAAGCTTTCTGGCGGCGAGCGTTTTTTTTAATATATATTGCGTCATCAGAGGTAGAGGAGGCCGGGTATTAATATTGGTACTAGTCGTCGACATGTCAGTAGTTTAAGGAAATTTTGTATTCAACAAGGTTCAAGAAGACCCCTAAATGAGCTCACAGTTACCCTAATTTCAACCCTATAATTAGTCATATTTAAAGACACCAATTAAACATCATAATTCAGATGTGTAATTTAGCAACATTTACTTGTTTAACTTAAATAGGCTAGCTAAGTAATTTGTTATTCAGGCTTATGTCAGCCTTCATGAAACCAAGAATAAATAAAGGAAAGATTTATGTGACCTTCGAAAAATCACAGAGAAAAAGATCATGCGTTTCTGTAGTATCTTCTGCTTCATCCCTACCACTTGTCATGTAAATCTGAGGAACGACACATAAACGGTGAGAACTGTGGTAGTGACATTGAAGCCACAAGGCACATTAATAAGAATAGCCAAAACAAAATGACCTTCAAATTACACTAATAAGTAAATTATTTCCCAATGAAATCATGAACATTTTGCGTATTGCAGAGTTATCTGCTCTTGGTAGCAGGTATTGATTGTTATGTCATTTGTTTGTGAGAGTAACGTCATCAAACTTTGAGAAAACGACGTAATTTTCTCACACAAACCAATGACATAACAATCAATACCTGCTCACAAGAGAAGCTAACTCTGCAATACGCAAAGACGGAATAGGCTTCATCAACCTGTATCTCTCAAAATTGTGATATTTAAAACAAGCCCTTGAACAGGAGTCAACTGCTACATGTAAACACCACAGGTGGTAGAAACAATGTTGCTGTCAAGAAAGGGAAAATTCATGATTTGGAAATCGAATTTGTTGTGCTTATTGTACAGATTAATGGAAAGCTGTCAATGTAGGTTATGTTAGCAAAGATCAACATCAGTGGCTGATAAAGTTGCAATGTTTGTGGCAACTTTGAACCATTTCTGGCAAACTGATTTGACAGCGGAAAGCTTTGAACTTCTGTATGTGCTGACCATTATTATTTGTGTCTTTGAGTTCAAAGATCATACTGAAGTGTGTTGACACATGACTGACATCAATTTAGCTGGTCAGCTTAACATGTACATTAAATGTACCTTACTGGAAGTCGGTGGGATTATTATCAGACAACTTCTTTTAAGCCTGGAAGGTGGGTGAAATGATGGTAGGGCTTAATCACCAGGCATCTGTAGGGTTTTAACATTGTACATAGCGAGTTTCAAAGGATAACATTAAAGAATTTCTTAGTCCTCCAAACCTGCCGTGTGCTTTCTCCACTAACTTATAATTAAGTACAGGTGTATTAGTACTTTTCCTTTCACAACTATTGCAGCTGTTTTAAATGACATGATCACTGAATATCATAGTCAGTATGCTAACCTTTTTTTTAATCATTTCTAAATTCAGTAGAAGGTCACAATCACAACAGCATGAGGACAGGTTGCTTTAATTTATTAAATATCTGTCAACCGGATTCGCCCTTTGGCGGGCTTCTTCAGGACCTTCACCTTCACATTTCTAAATTCTGGTTCATTATTCAATTTAACTGAACGTCAAAATGTCTATGTAAAGACAACTGATAAGCTATCGGGGAAAAAATAGAACAATACATATTAATACATTTAATAATTTGTTCATCATACAGAATATTGACAAACAAACGTACCTAATAAAAAACATTTACACCACAGCTTCAGTCGATAACGAAACAACGAAATGTGATTCTTTTAAACACTCACTACAAACATAATCAGCCATGATACTTCTTTAACATGAACTTTTACAGTAATTGATTCAGCTCCAGTCAATAGCCATAACAAAGTTGATTGTTTATGCCTCAATCCACACCAATTTCTACAAGACTATGACTGTCAGTCCACTCTATAAAGATCGCATGCATATATTCCATACACATATTTCATTTGCTCAAAGTACAGGTCACTACATTAGGCGTTCATTATTAGACAGGTAGACTTCGTCATGATTGATGGAAATCTTCTCTGGAGGAATGAGTGCTGCTGCCACATTTCTCCCCTCTATGCTCAACATGTTGAAGAGACCACAAGCCTGTTCCTGTAACAGATTATAAAATCACATGATAAAGAGACCACAAGCCTGTTCCTGTAACAGATTATAAAATCACATGATAAAGAGACCACAAGCCAGTTCCTGTAACAGATTATAAAATCACATGATAAAGAGACCACAGGCCTGTTCCTGTAACAGATGATAAAATCACATGTTAAAGAGACCACAGGCCTGTTCCTGTAACAGATGATAAAATCACATGATAAAGAGACCTCAAGCCTGTTCCTGTAACAGATGATAAATCACATGATTAAGAGATCACAGGCCTGTTCCTGTAACAGATTATAAAATCACATGTTAAAGAGACCACAGGCCTGTTCCTGTAACAGATCATAAACTCACATGTTAAACAGACCACAGGCTTGTTCCTTTAACAGATGATTAAATCACATGTTAAAGAGACCACAGGCCTGGTCCTGTAACAGATCATAAAAGCACATGATAAAGAGACCACAGGCGTGTTCCTGTAACTGATTATAAAATCACATGTTAAAGAGACCCCAGGCCTGTTCCTGTAACAGATCATAAAATCACATGTTAAACAGACCACAGGCTTGTTCCTGTAACAGATGATTAAATCACATGTTAAAGAGACCACAGGCCTGTTCCTGTAACAGATCATAAAAGCACATGATAAAGAGACCACAGGCCTGTTCCTGTAACTGATTATAAAATCACATGTTAAAGAGACCACAGGCCTGTTCCTGTAACAGATTATAAAATCACATGATAAAGAGACCACAAGCCAGTTCCTGTAACAGATTATAAAATCACATGATAAAGAGACCACAGGCCTGTTCCTGTAACAGATGATAAAATCAAATGTTAAAGAGACCACAGGCCTGTTCCTGTAACAGATCATAAAATCACATGTTAAACAGACCACAGGCTTGTTCCTGTAACTGATTATAAAATCACATGTTGAAGAGACCACAAGCCTGTTCCTGTAACAGATTATAATATCACATGATAAACAGACCACAAGCCTGTTCCTGTAACAGATGATAAAATCACATGTTAAACAGACCACAAGCCTGTTCCTGTAGGGGCAGGAATTCCAAGTTTACAATGTGATACCATCATCCACCAAAGATGATTCTGACCAAGTAAAAATAATTTCCAACAGAAAATTGTCAAAATATACCCAAAAGTGTTGTTTCCCTATATAAACTATAGTAAACTTTACCCCCTCCCCAAGGGAGAACGGATAGCTCGGGGGTCCTGAAATTTACAATTTAAATAAAGCCCCTGATGATCTTTCCATCAATGCAGAGAAAATGACTGTAATACCTCTGAGTCTGGAGAAGAAGATTTTTGAAATATTGGTTAATTTTCCCTTTTGGGCCCTGCCCTGGCCCCTAGGGTTGGGGTAGGGGAATCCAATTTTACAATTTGGTAGCCTTATCTACCAAGGATGATTCTGACCAAGTTTGAAAAAATTCCATCCTCTGGTTCTTGAGAAGAAGTTGATAATGTAAAAAGTTTACGCACGCCGGACGACGACGGATGGAAAGTGATTGGAATAGGTCACTTGAGCAAAGCTCAGGTGACCTAAAAATCACATGTTAAAGAGACCACAGGCCTGTTCCTGTAACAAATTATAAAATCACATGATAAACAGTCCACAAGCTATTCCCCCCTTGGGCTGATTTTCCCTTTCTCATCCCGAAAAGGGGGAGTAATAAATACTATCAATCGGTAAAAACGTGTCCATGGTAACAGAAAAGCTTAACTTTCCAAGGTACATGTATGTACAACAGCCAGGGATACACAACTTGAATATGTTAGAAAAATACATCAGACATTTTTTTAATACTTACTGTGGGTAAAACTTCTACGTTGATTCCCTTTGACCTCAGGAATAAGTGAACATCAGGTTTTAACTGGTCTATTTCCATACCCTTACCAATTACCAACATATCTGAAATTATAAAATACTTATGTTTTAGCTAACAAAATCTTACACAGTCCATCCTTTTTTTTCAATAGCCTGTGTTTTAATTTGTATCTTAAAAATTCAAATCTTTGATCATATAACCACCACATTCTGCAGTGATACACTAGCAGGTACCCTTGTCATACCTTTTGTTGATTTGCTCATGTAATAAAAATCATTGTGAAATCAGAATTATGACAAAAACAAGGAACTAGATGATTGATTTTAGGATGGCATCTGATAAAGGACCACACATCGGGTTGATAAATGTACACACAAGATTGATAAAGGTCCACACATAAAACTGATAAAGGTCTACACATAAAACTGATAAAGCTCCACACATAAAACTGATAAAGGTCCATACATAAAACTGATAAAGGTCCACACACAAGATTGGTAAAGGTCCACACATAAAACTGATAAAGGTCCATAATAAAACTGATAAAAGTCCACACATAAAACTGATAAAGGTCCACACATAAAACTGATAAAGGTCCACACATAAAACTGATAAAGGTCCACACATAAAACTGATAAAGGTCCACACATAAAACTGATAAAGGTCCACACATAAAACTGATAAAGGTCCACACATAAAACTGATAAAGGTCCACACATAAAACTGATAAAGGTCCACACATAAAACTGATAAAGGTCCACACATAAAACTGATAAAGGTCCACACATAAAACTGATAAAGGTCCACACATAAAACTGATAAAGGTCCACACATAAAACTGATAAAGGTCCACACATAAAACTGATAAAGGTCCACACATAAAACTGATAAAGGTCCACACATAAAACTGATAAAGGTCCACACATAAAACTGATAAAGGTCCACACATAAAACTGATTAAGGTCCACACATAAAACTGATAAAGGTCCACACATAGAGATATTACTGGTATGTAAACTCTGAAGATAATGATTTGCTTCACAAATAATGTTGAATAGATAGTTTTCTGAGTAACTAAAACCAGCATGTAATCATAAATGGAAAGTCTTTGAATACACATGCAGTTATCAGGGGAATACCTCCAGAAAGTGGTATGTAAAGTATTGTGTTTGTATTGTGTAGATTAAGTCTTTATCTTACCTAATTTTGGTTCCAGTAAACTGAAGAGTACAAGACTGTGTTTATCTATATGTTGTGCTGACTTCACCTGCAGAAAGAACAGTTTAGATAAAGCCATCCATATTATATACATACTAAAATAATAACACTATTACACAGCCTATAAGGGTTAGTTATTTAGAAAATAATACAGGAAGTCATTATAACGGGTGAAAAAACATGAATTAATTAAATTTTTCGCAGTCAGTCTGCCACTTTTTTTAATTATAATGAGGTTGAGGTCGGTGCATGCCGAGACCCGTGGTGTGATTGGCTGGAAGCGCAGCTATTTTTTCGCTAAACCAACCAACACTGCATGTTTCAGCACGCGCTGACCTCAACCTCATTAATATTAAAAAAGTGGCAAGCTAACTTCAAAAAACTTTGAATGTCTGAAATGGTTTTTTTTTTTGGAGGAAACAGAGTTCATGTTTGCTTAAGGAGAATACATTTTAAGTGCATCTAGGAGGTTTTTAAAAGAAAACTTATCCATGTTTCCAAAGGTACTAAGCATTTTCCCACAGATCAACTAGAAATGTTGTTTTTGACGCAAAAAAGTTAGGTAGTGTCGACATTTAGATCTTTCCTCCATTCTCATATATGTGATCATTGGGGGTGTCATTTATACCGAAAGTTGATCTAAACCCCTAAAAGATGTAAAACTACTCTGAACACCTTAGTTTAGATCAAAATATAGCTGTAACAAATTCTCAGGTCCCTGTGGCTATAACTAATCACTGTAGCATATTTTTAAAAGTTTGGACAGAAAGCCTTTGCATGATCATTTTAATAGATTCATCCTCTAGTTAATCTTGTAATGACAAATCAATTTACCATGTTGAGTGGGAATGAACAAACAGTCTTAAAACTATTTGCATTTTTATTCCCTTAATGCTGACGTTCACCTGTATATGGACTGTCTGACAGAGAAATGTGTCAATTACATGTACATAACCGCCTGCTTCTTTGTTGCAATGGGATAATGATTTATTTCAATGACTGAGAGTTACGTATTTGTTAAGAGTTAAATTATATTTTTTTACACAATTAAAGTTAACAAATTTAATGCTTCTATGATATTACATTATTTTTATTACCGGTTACTCTTATTTCATTTATTAACGCATTGACATCTATGTAGTGGGATATTTTCAACTCAATATTCTGGTTTGAACATGAACACAGTGTATGTTAACCGTCTACTTTTCATTTGTTTCCTGATTCTTTAGTATTTGGAGTCTTACATTCCAGTGGAGCACAGTGTGAGGGAACAGAACCACCGGTCCGATCACTTGGATGCCTGGGCTGACTTTGAATCCAAGGTTACTGTAGCTAGACACAATGATGGAGTCCTGATCAAGGTCAAACATTGACCTCATCTTACTCATAGCATAATCTGCTCGTTCAAATTCGCACATGCCTCTCACTGTAGCACTAAAACATGAGACAAAATTGCATTTGATATCATCCAGAAAACAAAATAGGGTGTTTCAATTCCAAGATTCCAGTTCAACAATGTTTTTTGCATAAGAATAGAAATAGTAACATGCACTTATAAATACCGACAACTCAATAACGTAACTTAATTATGCCCGCTGGTATTTTCAATGAATCACAGGTACTAGCCTCGTCTGTCAATTCACCTATACAATCATATTATAGTTGTATTGACAGACGAGGCTAGCCTAGCACCACAGGAGCCTGAAGTTCTGTCAATAATGAATAATAACATCAATACATTTTTTTTTTACCTATACTATGCATATCCTGTCCCTGACTATGCTTAAAAAAAATAAGCATATTATAGTTTTTCATTTTTTTGTATTACTGTTATTATTCATTATTGACAGAACTTCAGGCTCCTGTGCTAATACATGTGAATTAATCTGTTTGGTGAAGAATGTATAGTGCTTCAACAGGGTATTCACCTAGGCCTGCGAACCCCAGATTCCCAGTCCGTCGCTATACCAATATTGGGCAAGGGCACACTTAAGCTTGTATAAAACGTCTCAACAGCACACATAACTCTTACAATCTTATTTGACATTCAGCAATCCTGGATCGATCTCTGACAAGAATAGAGTACTGTACTATCTAAGTCAATGATTTCTCCAACTAAATAGAGGATTCGGATTCATGACAGGATCGTATACAAAACAGGTTAGATTGGGGAGAATACTTACCTGCTACGAGGCATTAGCCTCCGACAGAAGTGCCCCAGTGCTAGGCTCGTTTTCAACATGCTCTCTCTCTCTCAATCTGTCCACAGTTTCATAACGGGAGTGATCCCCCTTGGACACAATTAAGTTGGACCCGAAGCACGGTAACAAATATCCGAACAGCAAAGTTGCGAACAAGTGGGTTTTTGTAATTTTATTTTATTTTGTGTATGGGAAATTTGTCCATGATCGGTCTTCATGCATATTTGTGCAATCAAGTTTCCATAAAGAATAAAAGATATTAAGACATGCCACTCAATGCAATCATACAGATATAATATTTATAGGCTACAAAAGAAACTGTCGCAGATAGGATTTTAGCCCACACATTTTTTTGATTTCTTTTTTAAAGTAAACATGATTTATTTATCAAAAAGAAACAATTCCTTATATCTGAACAATTTTTTTTTTTTTTTTTTTACTCATTTGGCCTACAGGTCGCACTTAAATCATTAGAACACGTAGACATGGAAAGCATATACTTTCTATCAATTTGGTTTTGTCATAAACGCGAACGTAGATCACTTGAAAAGCAGGTGCATACGTGAACAACCAATTTATGTCTATAGTGTTAATCAAAATGTCACTGTCACGAACAAATGTGAATAATATGATAGTTTAAAATAATTGTTTCGTTGAATTTTGCTTTAGATGTCGGCTGAATCGGGATACGAAAATGAAAATGGCCCTTCCCCACTTCATGATTTTTTTTCTCCATTTCACTTAAAATCAGTAACATGCAAGTATATTTGTGTGGAATTGGCAAATATTTTTCTCTCTGATGTGTATTGAAATATATAAAACAGTGTACCGGTCTGAGGCATTAATTGCCTACTCCGTTCAACAACAATTAAAATATATTTTTTACAACATCTTTATAAATAAGTAAACAGATTCCCCAAACCCAAGCACAAACAAATATTGCTTCATATTAATCTATGCACATTTTTTCAGAAAAGAAACAGGTTTCCAAATATACGTGAAATTCAAAAGATGCTCTAGTTAGTGATATTCAATTCAACTAGGCTTCACAACATTGGTTTTGAGACGAAACCGAAGTACTCGGATAAAACCCACGTGGTCACTTTATTTTTGATTTTTGCAGCAGATATTAATTGATTGATGCCCTACACCATTCATTTTGTTGCAAGAATTGTCGTGGCTTCAAGTTTAGGTCTACTCATTCAGGCATTGTCTACAACATGCTTACTTTAATGAAACTGAATTTCACAAAAGTTGTTGACTATATGTGAATGCAAACACTGTGGAAGTTCACCTGTTGTCAGTGTAATGTGACGGTGGAGTGTCAATCGCAACTTCTCGGCCAATTCCGGCTAGGCGCGGAATATGCCTAGCCGGAATTGGCCGAGAAGTTGCGATTGGGTGGAGTGTCACACTAACATCCTGTAATTAATGACGTCGTTTCCAGTGAGCTGGCTCTTTAAAGTTACATGTACTGTTAAACCACAAACAAAAGTAGATACTAAAAAATACTTTGAGTGTGCACAACACATATACATACTGTCTTCTCTCCTGAAGGACATGTACAGTAATTTGATGATATACAATCTAAATGTTATATTATGTTTGTAATTCATTAGGTGACCATTATTCGACGGCATTATAGGCCCTTGAGTCACTAAAATATTTCAAAGAGTAAGAATTCAAAAAAAAAAATGTGATTTATAACAACAATTTTGTGCCAAAATGGTAATAACTTCTATGTTAAATGTTCAGAGGGGAAGAAACTGAAAAAGAGTTTAATATGATTCTACTTCAGAGATCCTTCCATTTGACAATGACAATATACCATGGAAGTATTTAAAACCTAAATGAAAAGTTTAAAGAAAGGTTCATGGTTAAAAAAAGGAAGATACGTTGGTATATATTGCTATATAGCAGGTAGGTTATTTCAGCTAATATTACTACATTTTTGTTTTACCTTTTTTAAGTTTTTGTAGTTACAAAAATGTATGGTGTTCAGCAGGCACGGGTACCGTTAGCATTATTCATTGTGTATTTTCCCCTGGTAAGAATGTTCTCTGCGGATACATTAACATTTAATTTTTAACAATCATCAATAGTATCGTATCAAAGCAGACCTACATGTAGCCTTATACACTTTACCTTGTTAACTCATTAACTCCAGAAACTATCAAAAACTACGATTCAGTGAAACAAATGATAAAAAATGCATTACTTCCCAAACACCATTTGTTGTTATACCCGGGTAAGTATACGAAATATAACTGATATGTGATTTCCATAATATCTTATTAGCATTATATAAAAATAAGAACGGCTAATTCCTTTTTTTTTCAAAAATTATTTCTGATTCTTTGAGAATTATATGTTGACAGAGGGTAATGGAAATAAACATGATATTTTCCAAATTCTCAGTCACCTTTTCATATTTTTTTTATGGGGATACTAAACATATTTTAAAACGCTTGTACTTGAGGTTTTAGTTACAATTTCTGAATTGAATATTAATTGATTAACAAAATACCCGTTTGCCAAGCCTTTAAGCCCACCATCATCAGATGAATCGGATAAATAAAATGTCCAACAGGCGGCCATCTTGGATTTTGACTGAATGTTTGTTATCGCTATTTTTCAGGAAGTACTGGAGGGATCTTTCTCAAATTTAATATGTAGGTTTCCCTCGGTCTTTTGTTGTGCATGTCTCAATCTGATTAAAATAATATCATACGTTCTCTACTTGATACGTAGAGAACGTAGGATATGATTTTAATCAGATTGTGCATGTCTGCTTTTGAGACTGATCGGATAAACAAAATGGTTGACTTGCAGCCATCTTGGATTTTACAGTTAAGGTTTGTTATTGCTCAGGAAGTACTGAATGGATCTTCTCAAATTTGATATCTAGGTTTTCTCTTGGTCCTTAGTTGTGCATGTTTCAATTTGAGAGTGATCATACAAAACAAGACGTATACTGTACTAGTAAATATGTGAAACAAGAAACTCACTTTGAAGGTGTAGTAATTTACATGTATATACAGCAGTATGAAGTTTAGATCAAAAGTTACCTCAAGGTGCATTGACTGTTTACATGCCTCATTCAACAATTGAGAGAAGAGAATGGAAAAGATAGAACTGGCATACAGGTAGTACTTATGAAGCGTGGTTCATTTAGGTTTAATATATCCGTGTTAAGGAAATGGATACATGTAAATACTCTCAGTAAACCAGGTATCAGCTGCCATTAAAAAATAAAACAATATCGTATAAACTCGTATAATCCCTGTACGAGGACCTTGGCAAGTCTTCAGCACCTTGGCATTGCACAAAATGCCAAAGGCCAAACTTCTCGCAAGTACCATATGACAGGAATTGCAGTTCATTCAGCCAGTGTGAGTCATCGGTTATTTAAAACTCTATTCTGGGCTCTATAGGTAGTCCAACTGCTAGGTCATCCCCAAAGCGACCAGATACTAACCAATCCAACAAAGATGCGAACAACAAAAGCCCAGGCAACCGCTCACTCGTGATCAATTTTCAGTCAATAAGGAACAAGGCAAATGAACTTGAAGTTCTGTTAGACACAACAAACCCTGATATAGTCTTTGGAACCGAAACATAATTGATATTGGAGACTTTTCATCGGAAATCTTCCCAGATTCATATACCGTGTATCGTAGAGACAGAGGATCTGATAATCATGGAGGTGTCTTGATAACTACACAGGGGGAAATCTACAGAATCCATTTGTGTTAAGATCAATTTACCAAACAAAACCCCCTTAATCGCCAGTTCATTTTACAGACCACCACAAACTGACGACACATATTTGGAGGATATATAACATCATGGAGTTATCCGAACTTCGGAAAGCTCATCAAAATGCATTCTTCTACATCGGTGGAAATTTCAACCTTCCAGATATAGACTGGAAACCACCACAGTAAAGGGTAAAAACTATTTGACCAAACTTAACGAGGGAATCATCGCTATAAGCGACGATCTTAGCCTTGCTCAGTTAGTAGAGTTTAGTAATCGTTCTTTGTGACTCTAACTTAAAACCACTGAGACCTACAAAAGAAAAGAACATGTACCAACAAAACAGACATCTAGTAACGTCTCCTGACGACTGGAGGGACGCGGCCATTGCTCCCATCTTTAAGAAGAGGACAGACATCAAGCAGCAAATTATAGACCCGTCTCTCTCACATCGGTTACCTGCAAGGTGTTAGAACACATAATCCATAGCCAGATAATGGATCACTATGACCGACTTGGGATACTTGCAGACCAACAACACGGATTCAGAACAAGACGATCCTGTGAATCCCAACTTATAATCACAGTAACCAGCACAGCCAAGACCATCGCTAAGGGGGAGCAAGTAGAAATCATCTTACTTGACTTCTCCAAAGCTTTTGACAAAGTACCTCATCGGAGACTGTTACACAAATTAAATTATCGTGGGGTACGAGGAACCACACATCATTGGATCCAGTATTTCCTATCTGGGAGAACTCAGCACGTCAATCTGGAGGGAATTGCATCCACCCATGTTGATGTTATATCCGGCGTCCCCCAAGGAACAGTCCTCGGGACGCTGCTGTTCCTGACCTATATATTAATGACTTGCCTGAGTACACGAAATCAGAGGCACGTCTCTTCGCAGATGATTGCTTGCTATACAAGAGAATCTCCAACAAGTCAGATGCAGCATCTCTACAAGAGGATTTGTCATCATTACAGACTTGGGAGCAGCAGTGTCAGATGGAGATCCACCCCCAAAAGTGAACAGTCATCCACGTCACCAGCAAGAGGCATCCCATCAAACACAATTACAAACTTCATGGCCACATACCTCGAGTCGGTGAGCAGCGCAAAGTACCTCGGTGTCACTATTAACCATCAGCTGAAGTGGGGAGAGTATATAAGCAACATCAGGACCAAGGCCAATACGACCCTAGGCTTTATACAGAGGAACCTGCGTCAGTGCAAACCTCAAGTGAAAACAGTAGCCTACCAAGCCATGGTCAGGCCCACCATTAAATATGAAGTCAGTACCGTATGGGACCCCCATCATCAGAACCAGATGGGACAACTCGAGGGAATACAAAGGAGAGCTGCGAGATTCGTCACCAGGGACTATAAGACTAGATCCCCAGGATGCGTGACCAAACTGATACACCAACTTCAGTGGGAAACCCTCGAGGAACGCCGCAGAACATCCAGGCTGATCATGTTTTTCAAGATCGTGCATGATCTCATTAACATCAATGCTTATAAACAACTAACACCAGGGGACAGCAGAACGAGGGGAGCATTGGAATTCCAAGGACCATCAACAGGCAGATATGTATACAAATAGTCATTCTACCCAAGAACCATCGGTGACTGGAACAGGCTACCACCATCAGCCAGGGAGGCCACTACCATTGAGACCTTCCGCATGCAGCTGAACTCTATCCAAGCTGCATGCCCCAGTAGGCAGTAGAGGGATTTTTTTTATTCTATCACGGACTTAGATAACAATCTAATTCCGTGATTCTATTAATTGTAAATAACGCCTTAAAGTTTTTTTAGCCGCCTTGAGCTGCGCCAGTGCTAAATTTACCCTCAGGGATGAGGCCAGCACTTCACTAGGAAGAAGAAGAAGAATAAAACTTACAAAAGGTGACGCCGGTATCGCTTAGAATATCATAACAATACATGTATGTCATTTCATGTTTATTTGGACCCATGTTGTCATAATATGATGCATCAAAAAGCCATCGTAGGACATTTTGCAACTGCATTGTCCTTTGATCTACTGTATATATAACTTGAATGGCAGAATGTTATAAATTTAAGTACATGCCTGTTCTAACCCCAATTCATTTGGTTTGGATTGGATTTATTGTTTAACGTCCTATTAACAGCTAAGATCATTTTAGGACGTGCCTCTATGTGTGTATGTGTGCTGGAGACAGGATATGTGCTTCCTTGTGATATAGCGTGGGTCTCATACCGACTGTATCGTGCAATCTCACTGAAATAACATGGCGAAGGCACACAGCACAGCAACCCGCCCGGTCACACTATACCGACAACGGATGAACCAGTTGTTGCCATTGCACTAAACGCTGAACGTTAAGCAGGGAAATAACAACTACCATTTTTTAGGACTTTTGTATGTCCCGGCATTGGTACAGAACCCATTGCCTCCTCACCTGGGCGAACGTTCAACATTAAAACCAAAAGTGAGGTATTGCCAAGCCAGGAAATAAAAGGTAGTCAGAAGTAGAAAGAAATATAAAGATCCTAAATATTGGTCGCTTTCGTCTTCAAGTAGAGGGCTCAAAAGCAAATCCCCAATATTCTGCAGGGGGTTCCCCACATCAGTCGCCTCTTACGATACATGCCGTGGGTAACAGCAGATTTATTCTTTTCTCGCTCCCCGACCTGCAGGGCTGATTTGTGTCATCTTTATACACTACAATATAAACTATAAACAACGACACCTTTGTTCCACATGTTTATTATATGTTCAATACAACCAATGCACTGATAAGGATGTTAACATGACAATATAGTTCTAAATCTGAACCTCAAAACAGTCTTTATGTAGCGTATTAAATTGTTCTCTTCTCTCTCTCCATAATAATGACTACAACATTATATCAACCACATTTAAAGTATGTAAAACATCAACATTAAGCAGTCACATAAAATATGCGTCTCAGATTTTAGCAAAATGGAAATTGATACAAACATCAGTAGGTAATTATCCATAGGCACTGTACACAGTTAGTTCTCTCCCATCACATGGACAACATTTACAAGCCAAAATACAACAGTACTCTAAGAATACAGTATTTGAAATGACATAACTACATAAATGACAAGAACTGTCCATCTTCAAGAGCTTTATACAGACACTTAATGATCTAATCTATAATTAATTTGTTTGCCTTCCAGGATCCAGGGAAGACTGAGATGATTGACACTTATATATGTATATGTCTATATGAGTTCATTTTTTTATCATAGTACATACATGTATGCAAAGCTAATATCACTTTACCATATTCTGATATAAAGGTTATCTTAATTAATCATAAATGTTTCTGAACAACAAACCTTTTGTATTGACAATATAACCATGCCTTAATTCTTGTACATATGTAAGAGGGTAATATTTTAATTTACAATGTCAGCAATAAAAACAAGAACGGTTTGGTAGTGATTCACTTAAGCATTAAATCAAAAATCTGAAAATGGATGTCATTGTCAATTTCTTTTGTTCTAGTACATGTAGCTCTTATTTCTGTGCAAGTAAAAGAATATGCTTTTGCTTTCACAATAATCCATTTGGATGTAAATAAACAAAGGATGCAAAATTATGCAAGTAATAGAAGTATCTATATTGTGAGAGTAAAGAAAATATTGTAAAGAAAATTAAAAACAATTGAGATATATCTTCCCTGAATATTTGCTTTTTATTCCATCCTCCATAGAAAGTATAACAATTATTTGTAAAATTGGACAAGAAGAAATAATTTATATCTATGAAATTGTGTGCTCTTTGTACGAAAGCCTATTAGTGTCATTTTGAATAGCATTTTTTTTTTATCTCGTTAAAACGCAATAATTATGGCCTATAGAGATAAATAACGCTTTCCAAATGACACCAATAGGCTTTCGTATCTTGGTAATGATTTTACATCAATATAAAAGATGCATGTATTTTAGATCAAGTTACAACACAATTGCTTGATATTGATTCATCAGCGTGTTCTTGTACAGATTTTGATTTTTTTCAGATGAATACATGTTGTAAATTACCAACTACATTAAGTTGTTTAGTACTTGATATGTTAATCATGAAACAAATTTTTATTTACCTAATATTTATAATAAGTAGTTTTGTGTCTACTTCATTAAAGTTTACAATAATAATGAAAAAAAGGTTCATGTAATATTTAAAGGTATACAGACGTCAAAAAGAACTAGGTCAAAAATTGTAACTTTTAGAGCTAATGAGAAGTAAATCTAAGGGTTCCTAAAGAAATGTGACATTTAACAATAAAAAAATGAACAGTATGATATGCACATACACTGAGAAATGAATACATACAGCATTGAGTGAGAATACGATTGTATATAAATGAACGAACACAAGGTACATACATGTAGGCACTTTCACAAAGTTTGCTGAGATGTTAATTATTTGAAATATGAATGCAGCACAATTACCCCCATAAGAATGCAGGCAACACTCATTAATGCTAGATAAAGACGATGAATCAGAAAATATATTATTTTAATGATAGAATGTTTCCATAATAAATAAAGAGTATATATTTCATAATGCAAGGTGGGACAGGAATATCAGTAGAGGTCACATATAAATCTTCTCTTCCTGCTCTTCTCAGTCCATGTTCCACTGAAAAGAGAAAAACCCATGAACAATTTTGAAGAAATATTACATGTTTTTATTGACATTTAGATAAGAATTGTCCTGATACCTATTACTCTGTAGAAGACTGTAAGGACTATGGCAGACTACAACCTGTAATGAGAGATTGGAGATCAAAAGAAGAAACATCACATGTCCTGAGAGATCATCTGAAGAAACATCATATGTCCTGAGAGATCATCTGAAGAAACATCACATGTCCTGAGAGATCATCTGAAGAAACATCACATGCCCTGAGAGATCATCTAAAAACCATCACATGCCCTGAGAGATCATCTAATAAGAGTCCTGTATCGCTCAACTGGATAATAAAGCAACCATGGTAAATTATTCTTATTACATAAAATCCCTCCAATGGTACAGAAGAAGAAAGATTTAAAAGATTTAAACCTCGAATTTCCCTATTGGGCCCTGCAACTCTAAGCACCCAGAGGGTCCTCACCCTTCCTTTATACAAAACTGAGTCCCCTTGGCCCAAGAATGCCCCAGACAAATTATGGATGAAATCCCTTAATCCCTATTGAAGCAGAAGGATTTCAAAGGTTTTTACCTCTATTTCCTCTATTGGGCCCCACCCCTCTGCCACAAGGAGGGCCACACCTACCGTTTATACAAAATTGAGTCCCCTTGGCCAAAAGATGCTCCGACCAAATTAGGATAAAATCCCTTTATCCCTACAGTAGAAGATGGATTTTCAATACAATTCCAAAGTATTTTATTGACAAAACATCTATAATACAAATAGATAAGTTGTATACATTAAAGAAGATGTTAGAACAGTATTGACAAAAGAATCAGACAACAGGCTATGCCTATATCAGTCTTCTTCTAATCTAGCTTAAACCTAAATCCATGGCAATGAAAACACTTGATAAATTAAGTTAGTTGTTTTAAATTTAAATCCTTCCAATAACAACTCGTATTCGACAATATTTCAAGAAAATTCTCACAGAATTTAATGAGATAACATACTTTAAGATTTCCATTTCCTCCTCCTCCCATTCTGGCTCTTTTATTCTCCTCTTCCTCAAGTCTTTGTTGAGCTTCTTGTTTCCGCTTGACTGATGCAGGGTCCTTGATTCCTCGGTTGGCTGCATTACCTTGTCTTTTCAAGGCTGCATCTGCCATCTGCTGACGTCTTAATTCCTTAATTAACAACATCAATATTCATCAAATGTATTTATCATATGATCTATATAAAATTTCAATATGCAACATACACACTGATTGTGAATTGTTGGAGACTATGTCAGTATGTGTAAAATTGATACATGTATATTTCCATCAGATACTTCTGGGGTATATGTGATCATGCACCTTTTAACTCACCGTTGTCGACATCAAACCAGTAATCTACGACTACTATTGATTTGTTAATGTAGTAGGACGAGAAATAGTGATGAAGATAGTGCGGTCGCTGGGGCTCGAACCCATGACCCTTGGCTCTCCAGCCTGATGCTCTACCGCTATTTATTTAATTAGCTTCAGAAGGGAAATTCCATACAGCTGATGACGCTTGTAAGGCAACCTAATTAATCCACATCTTTTACATTAATACAGCATTAATTCCTGCTCTAATTGCATGGCCCTTACCATACATGTTTTTCTATATACACATAAATGGGCCAAATGGCATTGCCATATCATTTTTTTATCATCATTATTTACATTTCATGTATTTCCACATTTTTTCACTCAATTTATATTTGTTTTGCTGCATATATCTGCCTATGAAATACATGCGTCTGTGTTATAATTGGTTAAAGAATAATCCATCAAACAATTGAAATAATGCCTTAACATTTGGCAAAATAAATGGGAAGTGATCCAATGATGATAAACTGAAATGACAAAAAGAAGGCTGACTTTAGTCAAACAGAAAGTAGAACACATGAAATTTCAGCCGAGATATTTTCTAATTTACAACGGGACACCATGCGCAAAACGCTGATTATGTGACACTTACACGTGTCTCATCATCATCGCTTGAAGATTCGGGTCCTCCTTCGAAGCACGAATAGCAAATGCCCATTCTAAAGGTTTTGACCACCCGTTTTGACAGATAGGCAATTGTATGTGATGTAAGCGACCCAAATTACGCATAAAAAGGAACGATAATATAACTAGATAACGAATTAGGTGACCTAAGGATATCTTAACAATGATAACTAAAAACTGTAGAAAATTAAACTTAATGAAGGATTATAGCAAAGTGACAACAGCACCAAAATAATGATACATGTGATACTTTTTCCGTTTCCGTAATATGTGCAAACTTTAGTATCGCTGTCTAAAAGCCGCTTATGTGTCGTCAAAGACAACAAATATTTTCTGTTTTGCAGAGACTTTTGGGTCCCCATAACCTAGACACCCTTTGGGAAACGTTAGCATGCAATATTTTGAGAAAACTATACTCTAGAGATAATTGTGTTTGTACTCCAAAAACACAACTGGTGAGTGAGCAACATGTGTGTGTTATGTTTGTGACTGCAGACTGCAGTGACTCGATCGATCTACTATAGGCGTATAGCTAGTAGCTAGATAGGCCTAACATGTGTCCCGTTACACAGGTCCAGTACACCCTGCCGATTGAGCTATATAGCTGTAAAGACCTATAATAGCTCTATTGACCTATTTGAAATAGGTCTTTTGAGCTATTTACATGTGATTTTCCTTTTTAGGAAATATAAGTATCCTTTTTAAAAAATAATGATGTAAAAAAATTGGAATTTTTTCATTTATGAAAAAAGAAAATTAACATCTAACTGTATGCTTTTATAGTCAATAGTAACATAAACCTTATTGTTTTATGCGACTTTGATTTAATTTGATTAAGAGAATTAAAATCTGAGAATATATAGCTCCATGCAGCTATAATTTACAATAATTGATGTAGCTATATAGTCTTTATACATGTAGCTACAAATGTATATAGCTCAATCGGCAGAGTACTGGACCTGTTACAATGTGTGTCCTGTGAAATGTGTTGAGGAGATGGTTAAACCATTGACTTAGATTAAGTCCGGTGTTAAACCACGGAATTAGATTATGTAATCTAAGTCCGTGGTTGAACGTATTATATCACGCAGCGAAAACCGTAATTCTGATCATGTATGACTGGAGTATATATCAAATAAAAGTAATGATTAATATCGTTTAATTTGGCAAGTACTAGGCAAAGGGAATTATATCTTGAAAATGAAAGGTGTTGCCCTTTGTCATAAAGATTACTCTTAAAATACTGAATGACATATACTTCGACTCATTTTGATGCAGAGCCTCCGGGGCCAAAGGGAACTAATGTTGTAACAACTTATGCAAATGAAAGGAGTCACCCTCCCCTAGGACTTAATTCTCTCTGGATCAAAAGGCATGTAACAGAACCCACTGTAGCAATTAAATTGAGAATAATCTCAAAATACTACTTTTAAGTAAAGATAAAGGGATATCAAAACCTGCTTCATATTAAGCATATTCTTGACCATAGAATATCAAATGTTGTCGCAGATACATGGAGCCTTGAAAAATAATGGCACCAAAATTTTAGAAGACTGTATAAAGTAACATCACTGAAATATAATATATTCTATAATCACAACAAATTCATTAAGTTTATTTTCCATATTTGAATTTTATTTTAGGTATCAAATACCCATATACTGTACAGGCAACTTTCCATGTCACTATAGATCGTACATGTACATACAGGTATCCATGCCGGTCCATTGGTGTGGAAGAGACTGATTGTGGTACAACATGCTGTAAAGAGGCATCATGTTGCGGTACAGTGTCAAAAAGAGGTAAGATAAGAGATTTGATAGATGAGGATTATTATGTACACCTCGATCCTTGTGTATATAGATCACATGTACCCTGCTGGTAATATAACTGATTAAATTAATTAAATCCCATATGTAGGTACATGTATCCGTATATACAGTGTATGTGGGATATATAGAATCTTTCACCCCCTTGGGGATGAATTATTATTTTTTCTGTTGACCCTGTCATATACATTACAAGTTCAATGCATTGCTGTCCCAACGTTGATGCATTGTTACGGGCCTTGAAACAGTTGTAATGAATTGGGTACCCCCCACCCCCTGTCTGAACCTTCGGGTGAGACAAGGATATAAAATAAAAAGGGATATTCTACCCAAGGTTAGAATTTCCAAATCCCAAATATTTAGAAATGAATAAAAACAAACTAAGATCATATTTGGAAAGAGCAGAAAAAAGTATGATATGCCAATGGTATACCTCAAATTTAAAGATCAACGCATGACATTCAGGGCAAGCTTGTACAATAACACTTAAGTTCCAGGGCCCACTTGTATAAAACATCTCAAAGTTAAGGAAAATCTCAAGCAATGTATTGTCTATGGGAAATCTAAGACTTAAGGAAATCTCAAGAGTTGAAATCTTTTATACAAGTGGGCCATGATCATGAGGTGGTGTCACTTGTTGGCAAGATTATCACAGTCAGTCAAATGATGGTTTGACAGGTTTATTGATTGTGAGGTCATGATTAATACAATGCTGTCATCTGATTGTAACAGGTCACTGAGTGCACCATGTGTGATGTACGTATTCCACAAAAGTTTTATATGGGACATGTTAAGTAAGAGTTTTTTCAATGTAATTTCTGCACAGATCAGACAGCTGGAAACTCATTGTTTAAGTTAAAAGAGAAATATTGGGATATACATACCAGTTTTAACCTTGTCCACACAATACTTCTATCTATTTTTATTTTTTTTGACAATGCTAGGGAGAAATTCATATTTGAACATGCTTTCTTTTTGACAGTGCTAAGGAGAAATTCATATTTGACCCTACTCAGCAATGGTTGTCTGACATCCGCTGGTCAACAGAAACAGAATGTATGAGTGTTCTACAGGGAAAGTCTCTCCTCACAGAGATGGACAAGTACAGCCTTAATGCCGCTGTTGTTAAAAGTAGGTAAATTAAAAACATGTTATAGGGAAATAGCATATGTGGGGATGACAATTTTGGAGTCTTGAATTCAATAGCAAAGAAGATGCTAAATTTAACTTCAATTCAGTGTGTTACATTAGCTGTGTAATGAGTTTATAAGAATGTGTTTTGCATTACTGAAAGAGTTGCAAAGTAAAGTATTAGCTGTATAATCAGTATATTTATGCATTTTTTTTAATTAGGGCTATGTTATTTTGCGTTTGATTGAGGATATTGGTATTAGTGCCGTGTAGAATTCACAAAAAAACAGGTTTTCATTACATTTCTAGTGCTGTTGTGTAAAACCTTTGCACAATCAGCTGATCAAACTGGTATATAGACTGGTCAGTAGAGTGAAATCATATGATGAGTAACAGTATGTGTTAACTAACCCTTGTCACATCACAGTCATATAATTTATTGGTTAACTGGATTTGAAAAAAGTGACCTGAATATAGTAACCAGACTACTATGTTTTCAATAAAACTTAAAATACCTTATAAATTTACCTACCTGTGCATGTGTATGAATTTACCTACCTGTGCATGTGTCATTGCGTTGGGATTTCAATGCCTTCTAGAATTATGAGCCTTGATTGAATCATCTGTCTATTTAGACCTCCTAAAGAACAGCACTGATTTTAAAATAACTTTGCAAATATCTAACTCATCATATGCATGTGTTAAGGATATGCTGTTTGATGTTCTGTTTGAATAGTAAGTATGACCCTTCATGTTACCATGCTCACCACATTAGTTATAATTACTTCAGTAATACAATGTAGGTATATGTTAGTATATGTTTCATTAACATACCGTTTTATCAATGTATCATTTTGTTTCCTCAGATGGAATTGACACAATACGGGACGATTCTCATCACATCAGCAATGAGTTCACTAAATTATTCAAGTGAGTTATCAACACTGATCAGCTGCCTGTTGATGTTGTGTCAATCCAATTGGGATATTTCCTGTATGTTCATATACTTTACCTTTGCCTTGATACTTAAAAAAAATGCTTTTATTCTTTGCTTTTTACTTCATTAGAAATAATCTTATTCTAGGAAATATTTTATAAGTTGAGCATACACTGTACATTTATGATTACCATTTAACAATTAAGGAGATTCAGATTAATTTTGTCTCGACTATTCCCTTAAAAACGATTGTCATTTGTATATTTCCGTATTTAATTATCATTTCTGATTTATAGGTATGTAGAAGCTGAGAAGTGGTCAGCTGTACGGTCATTGGTAATTCAACTCACCTGTCACATCAGGTCCCTCATCCAGGAGTGTAACTTGTCCTTGCCTGACCCACCCTCGTATATACTAGAGGTAGATTGAACTTAAATGATCTTATTGTTTTTGATCTGCTCGTAACAAATTTCAATTACTGTTGCTGTATAAATCCATTTGAGGGTTATGGCTTATATGAGTATGAGTTGGTGAGGGGACAGCAAATTAGGAGACACTTACATGTAATTATAAATTATACTTTATTTAAATGAAATGCCCTGATGTATGGAATAACATGTTTTTAACCTTAAGTCTTGGTGTATATACTGTTATACAAATGTACTGTAATTCTTCGATTTTGACATTTTCTACTTTTTCTTTCTTCATTGTACAGCAACAAGAAACAGTGATGGGTGAATGTGCGAAGTTGGCTCAGCAGGTTGACAGGTAAGGTGTTCTCTGTATCCTATCAGAATCAGTATGATATTCATCTTATTCCAACACTTAAATAGTACTACAATACCAGAGTATTTGAAATTGTAATCAAGCCATCTTCCATCTTCATAAGGATATACATGTTAACGAAGGAAACTTTTTTCTTGGGAACAGATAGTTCTGTGTATTTCTACTATTAATTACTTTTTATGTTCCTGTACATTTAAACAATATTTTTTCGTAACTACTGTTACATATACATACTTGTACTACTAAAATAATTTTGAGACAAATGATTTTGTATCTCAGATAATTTATATTGAATAGGAACTCTGTGTATTTCTACTATTAATTACTTTTTATGTTACTGTACATTTAAACAATATTTTTTCGTAACTACTGTTACATATACATACTTGTACTACTAAAATAATTTTGAGACAAATGATTTTGTATCTCAGATAATTTATATTGAATAGGAACTGCAGGAGTATCAATAAGTTTTTCATTTATGAATTTGCAAATTTTAATTATGTCTTGTTGGAAATGTTTTGATCAAATTAACATCAGAGGGGTGCATGTTGTTTTACCAGAAAAAGTAGTACTTCAAAGGATGACCGGACACCACCTAAAATTCCAGTCACTAACCAACTGACATTCCTAGGTCAAGCATTTAGTCGCCTGGTAGACCTTGCCCTTGGACATTTATTACAGGTATATATATATGTTGTGTCTGTGAGTTGTCTTGCTAATGCAGTTGTACATGATGATGTGTAAAATAGTTGAGAATGAGCTATTTATAGTTGATCATTACATAACAAGGACTGATCAAAATGTTTTTTATTAAGAACGATCAAACAGTTGATAAATTGAGCTGTCTGGTTTTACATTAACAGAAGGTGGTGGAGACCCTTGACGAGGCCAATAATCCTGTGACATTGTCCAGTGCACTCGGGACAGTGGTCAGTCTAGGGCTGGAAGGAGAACACATGTGCTATATCTTTGCTAGGGTAAGGTGTTCTGTTCAGGATCACTCCTATAAACACCATTTGTACTAGTTTTTTTTCAGAAACACAAAGCAACACATTTTTAGTATATTTGTGGTGTTAAGGTTTTCTTCATAACACCATATGTACAAAGGAACATAAATACAATATTTGCCAGGGTAAAATCAGATCCACAGGTACATGAACCAGGAAAAATAAATAAGAAGAAGTTTGCAAGAATATCGGGGGTGACCTTTGGAACATGAACAATTTCTGACTCTTGTACCATGATTATCTTTAAAAGATTAAACATAATAGTTTTGAATCTTTATATGAAATAAATGTATAAGTATTCTGTGCTTTCTACCTAAAAGGTGTTTTCATATAAAATCAGTATTTATATAAATTTATGTTGGTGATTACTTTGTATAGTAGCAGTATGAAGGTTTCTGTATAAAACATATGAAATGTTATACATTTGTACATTATATACTGGCTATGTGTGTTTCAGGAGGGAGGTGTGAGGGCATTACTGGACATCTGTCGGACAGAATCTTTGAGCTTCATACATCCACAGACCCTGAGAGCCCTAGCCACCATCTGTTGTGTAGCAGAGGGAATATTTGAAATAGAAAAGGTCAGTATCACGGAAAATAGTCATTGCTTTTCTGGATAAATTAGGTTCAATGATGGAATGAAAATTGATAACTTTCTGTTAGTCCGGTAACCTGTATACAATTTGGAAACACTACTACAATATATAGCTTTCATTCACTGCCAATACATGTATATATACTTTGACAGGAGGGAGGTGTGGAGTGTCTAATGGACATCTTATGTGACTATTCTGGTGGTGAGAAGGTACGAGGCGAGGTGGCAGGGGTACTGGCACAAGTTACTTCCCCTTGTCTTGAAAACTTCCAGCAGTTGTCGGGCCTGGTAGAAAACTTGGATGAAATTTTACGGGCATTGATCGGTATGTCATTTATGAGGGCATTCTGTAACTCATTCTGCTTCAGATATTATTTTGTGTGTGGAACTATACCAGGATAAAACAAACTAGTTTTTATTATTTGTTTTTAAATTTGTGTGATTGGCGTTTTTGTTTTTACAAAAGTGGCTTTGTTGTACATGTATTTGAGTTTGTTGGTAAAATTTGTATTACAGTGTTTAAATTGCATAATGATCTTAAATTTCAATTGCAAATCTTGTAAGTTTATTTAATGTTTCAATTTGTATAAGAGCTGTTCCAGATATGAATATATGAATTTTGGCTAGAGTTGTCAGGGAAGCACTTATTGATTGAAACTTGTTTGTCTCTTAGGTTTATGTGCCAACACTCTTTCCCATGAAGTATTTCTGTTGGCATCGGCAGCTATTGCAAACATCACGTTTATGGACAGCATGGCATGTGATATTCTGCTCAAGTATGATGCCCCGCGTGTTCTCATCCAGTCATGCGGTACCAGTGTGGCACAGTCTCTCTTCGCGAAGGACCAGGTGTGTTTGTATATGAATTTGCCATTTATTGACAACAAAAGAATATTTACAATCAAAACGCGTCAGGTAGTAAACCATACTTTATCCTGCCTTTCCAAAATATGTTCTTGGTTAATTTGCATGCTAACTGGAAAATCTATTATTATTTATTGTTGTATTGGCAATGTCATTGTCCGTTTGTCACCCTTTCTGGATGAGAGGTGAGAGAAAAAAGTCAATCATTATGTAGGTATAGAAGATAGAAAAATTCAAACTTTGAGGGTAGAATTCAGGCTTTGAACTGATGCTGAGGTTCTGAACCCAGATTCAATACCTAAGGGTGGAATTTCCCTATCTATCATACATGTACCTATGTTTGATAGAATCTACTAGTTATGTCACATACGAATTGTTATATTTAATAGATTCATTAAATAATCTATACATCTGTTTTAGGTGGCAACAGTCCTAGCCAATATGGTTGCTGTTGACAACTGTAGACAGTGCATTATAAATAGTGGTGGCCTTGACCTTTGCCTACAGTTGCTACAGGAACGACCTTTGACCTACAAATCTTCAGCAGAGATTGCTGCCTGTGAAAGGGTTCAGCAGAAGTCAGCCATTGCCCTGGCCAGACTCTGTAGAGAAGAAGAGATTGCCCAAATTATTGTAGAAATGGAAGGTAGGTTTTTAAAAAACCCTGCAATGAAGTGAAGGCTGAGCCTCGTTTCAATGCTGAACTGTATCTGAGTCAAGTATGTACTATTTCTGTTACAGTGGAAGAAATAATCTGTTTAACATATAAATCATGCTCATATAGTACTGTATGTTGAAAGATTGTATTTCACTGCAGACAGTTTATGTTTGATATTGATGATGCTATGTAAATCAGGTACCCAAACACTACACTCAAAATAGAACAGTAAACATGTTCAGACCTTTAGTTATGAAATGATGAATTCCACTGTCATGAGCGTTTCCGTGGTTACTGTAGGTATACCCCGCCTGGTGGAGCTTTGTAGGAATAAAGGGGAAAGAAACAACAGTGATGCAGTATTAGTGGCCTGTCTGGTGAGTTAAGAAATGTCTGGTACAATTGTTTTGAAATTTTCAAGTTCTGTGCACCCTGGAAATTGTCAAGACAAAATTGAAGGCACACAGTTAGCTATTTTATTGGTTTCATGTGAAAAAACCTGACTAATTGCTAGGCTGGGACCTGTCCTTGGAAGATTACTGAGGAATGATGCCAGACTTCAATCCATTACATTTTACCGTTATGCTGCTAAGCGATTCTTTTTATGTACATCATAGGATCAAAGTAATCTACTTGTATCATCTACAAGGTGTTGTGTACAGAGCCTTTAATTGTATCATGACATATACCAGGGGTGCAGAGAACTTAAACGAGCTGAACCCCTAGAGTATCAAAGATTGTGTATCATTCTGGCTTTAGATCTCAATTATTTATGTTAAATTTCTTAATTCATCAAAACATTTGAAAACAAATTTGATAACATACCTTCCATTATTTTTGGTTTGCATTAACGTTGACAAAAGTATTTGTATACATTTGTAATGATTTATATCTAAATAAAATAAAAAGTTTGATGATATAATGTACATGACTAATTTTTGTATTTCAGGCTGCCCTTAGGAAGGTGAGTGCTCTATACAAAACAGAAAATATCATTGATATTGATTTTAAACAACTGATTCAGCCACGGCTCATGGATTCTTTTCTCATATGTACAAATACTGATGAGAACTTTGTATGACAGCTGGCAATTGGTGAATCACCCTCGCTTACAATGATATTTCTTGCAGTATTCAGAATTGCTGACTGACACCTGTGTATGGCTACTGTGTTTACAGGGCATGATGGAAATGGTCTTATATGGATACTGGATACATAGTTTATATGAACATGTTCAAATATCAGATTCAGTATCAGGTTTGTAATAAAAACTAAGGCATGCATTTGCAGAAATGAAAATAACTAGAACCAATATTAGTCTAGGTATGCAAACATATATATGATGTATACACAGTTAAGGGTGAAAATAAGTGATGATCCTCTAGGATCACATGGTTATAGTTAACCTCTTTATACTGCCACTTATATAATTTGGCCACGTCAAATCAAACCCCTTTTATAATGCCAAAACGTTTGCTGTCTAATTGGTATTGCTGAAATGGGGATTTACTATATGTTTAGAAAATATTCATTGTGTAAAAGCTAGAAATTTACATTGATTAATAATATAAAAGGGAAATGACTTTAACTGTGGTACTATTTTCTCAAAACATCTACCCACAGCATTGCCGTTGTGTTATATAGTCACAACAATTTTTAAATACATGTTGTAAAATTGAATTACCACAAAAGTATATGATTTTAATGTCATTTTAGTTTTTTATACCATAAAATCTTTTTATAATGTAGTATTATTATCATATATCCTACCATTTATTTTGATTATGTTTAAATGTCTGTAGCCGTGTAGAGATTATTATTTGATTCTGCATAGATAATTTTACACCATGGATGGAACAATGCGATAAATCGTGTGGATTTAATCATTAATCATAATCCATTAAATATATTCTGGTACAATTGTACCAGTATTTTGTTTATCTAGTTCAAATTAATTTGATTGTTATTCCATTAGGATAAGGTATTTCAGTTTACCTCCACCTAAACGGATAAGAGTGCTTGATCAGTTAAAATGTCTGACTCTAAAACCCATAGTACATTGTAAAGTGATTAAGGTAAACATTCACTGTGATTATTAAGTTAAGAATGGTATGTTTTCTGAATCAACCCATCAAGATTATCTTAACAATGTTGGCCTCTCAAGATAGATACACATACAAAACATGTCAATTTCACTTGGTATGTGGACGAACTTGTTGCCAATTACTCGTGTAATACGTCATAGAATTTCACAAGTAAGACCTCATTTATTACTCTTGCTTAACATGAACATGATGCCTTTATAAGAGAAACCTGGATAGAATATGTTATATAGGACACAATGTGTGTTATATAAGACATAAATTATGTCTTATATAATATACATTGTGTCTTATATAACACACATTGTATTCTATATATTACACATTGTATCTTATATAATATACATTGTATCTTATATAACATAAATTGTATCAAATATAACATAAATTATGTCTTATATAACATACATTGTGTTATATTTGATACAATTATTTGTGTAAAATATAGAATACAATGTATGTTACATAAGACACAATGTATGTTATATGAGTACGATGTATGTTATATAAGATACGATGTGTGTTATATAAGATACGATGTATGTTATATAAAACACAACGAATGTTATATTAGATACAATGTTTGTTATGTAAGACGAATGTTTGTATGTTTTGACTAATTAAAAATAAACATTACATGAGTGACCTTGTGTCGGGAGGATAGATGTGCTGTCAAAATATAACATTTAAGATAAACAAAATCAAGGAAGGATTCACCAAGATTAGGATATGAGGAGTATGGTGTGTAAATTTCATTTTTGGAATTCATTTATTAATTGCTTAGTCAATTTACCAGATAGCAGTATTTTTCTTTGCGGTGTTATTCTATCCTTCAACCAAGGAAGAATGATTGGCACGTAGAAAGATTGAGAGATGAACATAACACGGACATGTGATTACATCTATGACATTGGGTGATAGATGCAGACTCAGCAGTATGTCAGAAATGCTTACTTACATGTTATCTGATACTTAATTGAAATATATATGTTCTTCAGGAAATCAGTCAAACTATAGTCAAAACCTATCAGTATTTTGCCTATATTGATTTTATATGTTTTTGAGATAACTTGTGAGCACTGGGCCCACTTGTATAAAACATCTCAAAGTTAAGGAAATTCTCAAGCAATGTATTGTCTATGGGAAATCATAGACTTGAGGAAATCTCAAGAGTTGAGATGTTTTATACAAGATGGCCCAGGTGTAGTACATTACAAACTGCCAGATATTCGTAACAAGGTGTCATAATAACCTTCTCAAACGTGACTTTTTATATGTCAAAGATAACCATTCAAAAATGTTTCTGTGTCAGTTATGATGTATGTATTTCTGTTCATAAAATGAATTGCCAATTTTACATTCCATAAAAATTGTGATCAATTGTAAAAAATATCAAAAAGTGTATAGGAATTTGTCACTGAAAGTGCTATTGATATTTTATTTATGTATATGAAGACATTGTATTCTTTGATGTTTTGGAAGTGTTGTAAAATATGAAGAGGTGTCTTACATGTACCTGTATGTAAAATACTCAAATAAAATAAGTTGATTAAGGTTGCAATTTGTAACCAAAACTTCATTAAGTTGATTTAAATGATCCCTTGAACAGGAGAAATATACAAGTATATAAATATACACCAAATCTTTACAGGGAGAAAATACAGTCATTGAGTCAATTTGACCTTAATCTGATAAAGGTTTGATCCGTATTAATGTTGACGGCATTATCATAAAGTGTTCATGTTTTATTGTGATAATCTTATCAGTTTAAAACATTGTGATTATGATTTTGAAGCATTTGCATGCCTTTAATAAGAACTTCAGTAGGAAATATCAGTGAAGACGATTTTGCCGAGAGATATTCCATATATGATATATGGTGGGGGAAAAGGGTACAGGGCAGTAATTACAAATGATAACATGTATTGGTGATGCTTCTCTACACACTCGCCCCATGTATTGTTTATTTTAGCAAAGCCTTAACTTTGTTGTTTCTGAAATACATGTACATTGCATATAAAAACCTTCCAGTTACATAAAAATCACTGTGATTACATCGTTATGAAGATATATAAAAACTCTTTATCAATTTTTATTTCAATTGTTAATATAAATGTTAAAAAAATATTTTTACACACCGATAAAATATGATTTGTTTCTGTAATAATATATTTGATATCTGAATCAAATATAATGTAATACATAAGCTGCTGAGGTTTATGTCATCAAGTAGGGCAGTAGACGGGAATGTTGTCTAGTCTTAGATTTGTCGGACAAGTATTCCCACACAGTGCTATCATGTCAGCCTCACCTTTCAGTTTTGTTTATTCGTTGTTTTCTAAAACGTTCTAGATAACGTTTATGCACAGTCCATCTGAATTCATGCTGAAAGCACAAGATCTATTTATAATATGCAAATTGTGATTTTCATTTTTGCTAAAAGAATATCAAGCTTATATATGATCGTAATTTTCTTTTCGTGTTAAATAGGTGGACGGAGTCTAGAATTCACTATACATATATACTTTTGAAGCTGTAGATCTGCTGAGCTATAATTGAGATTTTACGCTTACGTAAGTCTTAATGTCATTTTGTCATGTATGTTGTGTTTAACACGACACTTCAATGTCATGACGTCAAGTCTGTTGTATTCAATATGACACTTCAATGGCATGACGTCAAGTCTGTTGTATTCAATGTGACACTTCAATGTCATGACGTCAAGTCTGTTGCATTCAATATGACACTTCATTATCATGACGGCAAGTCTGTTGTATTCAATATGACACATCATTATCATGACGTCAAGTCTGTTGTATTCCATATGACACTTCATTATCATGACGTCCAGTCTGTTGTATTCAATATGACACTTCATTATCATGACGGCAAGTCTGTTGTATTCAATATGACACTTCAATGGCATGACGTCAAGTCTGTTGTATTCAATCTGACACTTCAATGTCATGACGTCAAGTCTGTTGTATTCCATATGACACTTCATTATCATGACGTCCAGTCTGTTGTATTCAATATGACACTTCAATGTCATGACGTCAAGTCTGTTGCATTCAATATGACACTTCATTATCATGACGTCCAGTCTGTTGTATTCAATATGACACTTCATTGTCATGACGTCAAGTCTGTTGTATTCCATATGACACTTCATTATCATGACGTAAAGTCTGTTGTATTCAATATGACACTTCAATGGCATGACGTCAAGTCTGTTGTATTCAATATGACACTTCATTATCATGCTGTCAAGTCTGTTGTATTCAATATGACACTTCATTATCATGACGTCAAGTCTGTTCTTTTAAAAGTGATGCTATGTGTTTGTTGCCTTTATTCTATATGTTTGTATGTAGATTCTATTAAATGACGAAATGGGCAAAAATATGACATGGACATATTCACTGTATATTACGACAACCTTTTGATAGAAATATAAACGGATACCTTTTAAAAATAGATTCAACTTGAAAGTAATACATTTATGCCTTTTCCTGATGTAAGGAATTTTGATAACTATCATACGATTTTCTAAACATTCCTTAAACTATCTTATAAAGTAAAGACTTTTTTGTGATTTTACTAATGAAAGGTTGTCATTAATTTGGAATCATTTTCTAACTTTACTACAATATACTTATACTATATGTATTGGGATTTGATTCCATTTTTGGCAATTCGTTCCATGCTATTCTGTTATGTATCATACATGTATATATTCTTTACAAAAGTGTAGTATGTGTTCATATACTCATGAACCTGAATATAGTGTTGGATCGATGTTTTACTTTAAAAGAAAATTCTAGCATATCGAGATGTTTGCAAAAGAGTCACTAGGCTAGAAACTCTTTTGTCGTGTAAATTACATAGTAAATAAATATATGTACATGCAGAAACATAAGGTAATATGCCATATATTGGCGTTGATGTTGCCTATGGATGTTGATTGAACAAAACACAGGGTTTGCCGTATAGGAATATAATATAAAGTTACAGATTAGATACCCCCTACACTGTGGTTTTATAGTATTAATTTCTATAATGGAGTGTTTTTTTATTCAGACTATATATCATATTGATATAACTTGAAACTCCTCTGGTCAAAAAGATAAGATTACGCTTACGTAAGTCTAAATATATAATATACAATCAAATATAACCATTATAAAAAAACCTCTATATAAAATCAAATAATGATGGTTGTGGATTTGGAATAATGATAATTTCATGACCACGATTATTTTGTTCAATTAATGTTTGTTTTTATTTTGAAATGCATGTTTTATATAAGGATCGTTTTTAATGAGTCATTTGCAACCTTAATAAATTAATTAACATATAAGTATAATGTAACAGATATCACATTCCAATGTATTGCTTGTATGATTTATATTTTATAAGTCATAAACAATCACCAGAATAGCCATAGTGTTGTGTTTGATTTATTTCTGTAATATTTACTTGAGTATTTATACAACATGCACGTGTTTATCTACTTTTTGTGTGTGTTAAAAAGGCTTTCTATTGTTATAGAAAAGAAGATAAATATATATCAATGGCAATTAAGAATGCTTTATAGTTGAAAAGAATATTAATTAAAAAATATTATAAATTCCACCTGACGAAATACGTAAAACAGAAACAGTCGATTGCAGCTATCACACTTACGGTTTATAACAAAGTTTTATATAGTAGAACAATATAAACAAAATGTGTACCAATCACAAACTAACTATAAACAATCATTGTTAAGAATTATCGTGAAATCAGTCGAGGATCTGTGCTATTCCTGTAACATGTCCTGGTTTAGGGCAATAGGTACATTTGTATACACTCTTTTCTGTAATTAATAATACAGAATAGAGTCTTACGTTCAATTACATCTTATGTATACCTACATGACTATTTCCCCCCTATCTCTTGTCCCTGCCCTCGGTAAAAAGGTCCTGAACTAGAATAGTCCATTGCATTATTTTGTTTTTGCACATATATATTTTTTGTTAGTGAGTGTCTTGTGAAAAATGTCATGCAACTTATCATACAGTGTGTATTCTAGTTAGCGTACATGTATTTAAAACGTGATATCAATGGCTTCTTTCCAATTCTTATAAATGTGTGCATCTTTTTATTCCGTTTATGGTAATAACATTGAAATGTCCACATGATGTAGACAACAATTAGATATGTAAACGCTTACAAAATGTGTCAATAGGCAGACACACTATATACATTAAGCATCAATAACATGAAGGTTGGTTACCAAGC